TTTTTCCGCTCTTCCGCTCCTGGTGAACTTTCCTAATTGAGTTTCATGCGGACAGGACGGGACAGGATAGTAAACCATGCCGGGACTGCAGTTGCGTTTAATTGCATTGGCAAGGAGAGCGCGGTCCTCAAAAGCGAGTGCCACCATCTGAGCAACCGCCAGCAGGTTGACAATGAACATGGCCAAAAGGGAAGCTTAAGGTGGGGAGATATGGCCAAGGGCGGAACCTCGACAAGTGTTGCCTACTTACACGCGTCTCGCTCCGCGGGCAGTCAATAGGGGCATAAACAACCCCGAAAGAAAACCACGGTCTCTTCCGTAATTCAGCACCACACTGGGAGAAATAAATCAGCAAATTAGTTAAAAGTTTGTCACTACCACTCACTGATTGATATGTTTGTATCAAAATATGAATGATAATTATAATGATGTAATAACAATTAGATGTGTATGCAAATTAAACCCCCTTTTAACACTTTAATTACTTACTAATGGAATCACTAAACCAGCACAACATTTTCATTTTAAGAGTGATTAAATGGGTAAGGAACTAAAAGCCTTTTTTTAGTTTAAGGGTATACGTTTTGAAATCCTATATTTCACTAAACAATAAGTGTAACGAAAAACTCTTTGAATACATTTTCCCTGCTCACTTAAGTTTCTTGCAGCTACGACTCGCAACCTTGATGTTAGATTAGTGTTTGCTCACTGGAAGACCAGTCGCCTACTTAAAAACTGCTGGCAAACCCGCGAAAATTTATTGCCAGCCAAAGAACAGTTAGATGGCCATTTTCGGGTGCTGGCAGAGGACCTGGAGCTGGAGCTAGAGTTGGCGAAAAGCTTTTAAACATTTCAACATTTCTCACTGCCGCTTAATGACTGCCGGGCAGGACATTAAACGCTTGTTGGCCGCATTAGGATTTCCGTAATGCAGTTGGCAGAGCGGGGCGAGCAGCACTTCACCACCGCCTCCTCTTCTCCTCCTGCTCCTCCCCTCGTCCTCCTGCCATTTACCCAGTTGGATGCGAGTTGCAGCTGCGAAATTCACTCTGAAGAGCTTTTCATTCGCAAGTGTTGCCCGAAAGTATGCAACGAGTTGTGCCAACAATGAAATTTGACTGGCGAAACTCCCAAGGACACCACGCCCCACCCCAAAAGTGGGGGCGTGGCGTCGCCTTTCAGTGCGAGAAACGGTAAGAGCCTTGGCCACAGCATCCGATTGAGCAGAGCTGCGATAATGGAGACATCTGCTCAACAATTTTAAGGGGATCCTGAACGGTCGGGGGATTATTTAATGAGGAGCTTAAGCAGAGCGTTGCAGTATTTTAGTTAAACTAGAAATGGTTTAGCATGTTCAAGGTGAAAAGTTAAGAACTGGTTGTAAAAAGTAGTTTTATATTTAAGTTGTACGACGTTACAAATTACAACAATACCTTATGGGGGACAGGAGCCTAATTAATCACAGTTTTTATAATGTAACAAAGCTAACTACCAAATGTATTACCCTTCCCTGCATAAAGTAAATTCTGTTTTAATTGTACCTATAATTAAAAACGTTAAGAACTTGAACACATCCAACTGACTAGATCCATATTTCATCATAATTAGTTGGTTTTATTTATTAATTAAATTTAATCCGATGGAAAATTTATAAAATGATAAATTTGACTCTTAAATTTAATAATAATAAAGATACAGCTAGGCAAACCTCCCTCAATAGCACCGAAATGCACACTAAATTCTCAATCAAGGGCAGAACAAAGCAAAACCTGTGAAAACGCATAGATACAATTTGTGTTCATCAAATGTTAAATGATGGTGATAGGGGAAATTGGAGGGGGATGGTCGAAAGTGGACCTAATTGGCTTTCATTAGTTGGCATAAGCTGCATTTAGCTTCCCTCTGGAATGTTCTGACACCATTCCGCCGCGTCCGCATCTCTTCATATACCGCCATACAGTTATGCTCTAATTAGACCATACAACCATATCCATGTACACAAAGTCAACCACAAATGAACGCATACAAAGCATGCAATGCTTGCACCGTGCATTGCCAATTGAGGGACCACCTTTAATTCCACTCCCATATTCGTCATTGCTACTCCACCTGCTCCGGCCATGTCCTGCTCCTCCTGTTCGTCCTGCTCCTCCTTTGTGTTGCAACTGCCAAGTGCCTGGCACTTCACCACTAACGAATTAAAATACGAGAGGGACAGAGGTGGAATTAGAGCGGGAGTCATGCGAATGCAAAGCACGTAAAAAAACTCGAAAAATATTAACAAACAAGAATGGTAATGTTGGTTTCGCAAACCGAAATATAGCATACCTTTGCAGATTGCTTTGAATTTCCAAGAAATGTTGATTTCAGAACGTAAAATGGCATACTGCGGCGGAATATAATTGTTAAGTACAAAAGTATAGTTGCCTGAATCCGTGCAAAGAAAGTGCTCCCCTATAAATATTTCGGTTTATTATTTTAAAAAATATATATTTTTATATGTATTTTTTAAACAATTGATATATCTTTAGGAACATAATTTGTGAAGGCTAGGTTTATAATTAAATTTATTGTCGAACTGTTCACAAAATGAAACTAATTAATTAGAAATAATGGATATAAATATAAGTAAAAGCTTTTTAACGTACATATATATATGTATATATTATCAGACACTTTCAGAATATACCTGTTTAATATTAATAAAGTAGAAATTAACCTATAAAAACTATTCAGAATGTTGTTGCTTTTAAAAATAGCAATCTCCCGTCCCCATTATATAATTTTTTTGTCAGTTCAAACACTTTTTTTGTAAATAAAATATACCTTTCGTAAGAGTATAAAGACACACACAAAAATGTTCACCGTTATTATTTTGCTTGCGCTGGCTACATACATATTATATTATTGTAGTTGCTTGCCTTTGTTGTTGCTGGCTGCTGCTGTTTCTTTTCTGTATTATTATTATTTTACGCGCATGCATAAATTCCAACGAGAAGCGAACCGAGTGCAGTAAAGAAAGAACAAATGTTGTTTGGTTGCCTTATTATTGCAGTGGAATGGCCGGGGGAATTACGGTTGGGGGGGGCTTGGAATGGGTTGGAGATGGGGGTGGTGAAGGTGTAGGTGGGGAAGTGGGGAGGTTCCTTCGAGGTGTATGTTATTGCAACAGTAAACACACAAAGCAAACAACAACAAAGACATAAAAGTTGAAATTAAAGTAAAACTGCAGAGGGGAAGGAGGTGAAAAGTGTGGCCGCTTGTTAGTCCGACAAACCGGAAGTGACTCACATGCACACTTTCATACATCCAGCGTTTACTTTCAGCGGCAGATTCAAGTGTAGTACAGCTTTGTGCTTTGTTTAGGCCCTTTGTTTCTCACTTTTACCTTGGCTAAACGAGAAGGCTGAAATGTTTGTGGCTGAATTGTTTGCATCCAAAGAGGAAAACTAAACATTACCCGAATTCTTATCCAATTCCACACTCCACTTATATTGCTCTAATTAGTAAATATTTCTGATTTGTGGTGGATAAATATTTGAAAATTTGTAAAGTTAATTTGCATTTACCTAACCATCATAAACATACTCTCGGAAACAGGCAACGTAATTGCCAGTCGAGATAATTGAGTGGACTCCAGAGGAGCAGAGTTGGTGGCGTCCAGCTGGGCCCATTAAAACGCCGTTAGTTTTCAATTTTCCCTGGCTGGAATTTGATGCGCTCATTAGCATCGAGTGACCCTTGGTCAGGCGCTTCGTTCAACAACAGCAGAGTCCAATTGGAAGCACCCTCCTAACAAGGAGATGAATGGGCAGATGGCGAGATCCCATTCACGCCAGGATAGGGGCTCCATTTTGGCTATTCTCTTTCAGATCCTTCGGGGTTGCCAAGCCATCAGCTTTTTCAAATCAAACTGCACCAATTAAATCGGCTTTAAAAACAGTCCGGTTTAAATTTCGGAGCAACACTAGTTGTAAATGGTACTAATTGGTTTCAAAACTTTTTTGTGTACACATTGATTAATTGATGATGACCTTTATTGTTTTCCCGTAAATACACTTTCTGTATTGTTTATTTATCTATACAAATGCTTAGTCTTCGGTCATTTAGTCTTGAATTTAATATAACAAAAAACGTAGTCTTCGGACATTTAATTTATAGGTACTAAGAGTAAACCATTTAATTAAGTCTCTGTTTTTAACAGACCAATTTCATTTTAAGCATCAGTTATTTTTTAGTGTGGGTAAATATTGGCAAATTAAAATTTGGTTCTCTGTCTCCTCTAAGTGTTTCCACTCCGGTCTTGGGCATTTCGCACACCACCCCCGAATTCTCTAATAAACTCACTCATAAACACACACACTCGCTCGCACTAAACAAATAGCAATAAAAGCCGAAAAATAATCAGGTTTACGGCGGCTCCTTCAGTTTCTGCTCCTGCTGCGGTTGGATGACTACCCCAGCTCGCCGGAGTGCCCTTCTGGCGTTTGTTGTGCTCCCAACGCCGAAAAGTTGGCCACTGAACAGAAATTACCCATACACCGCGTGGGCCGATGATTAAGATGGGCGCGGAGAACGAGGAGAGATACCCTTGCCGTTGAGGTGTGGCACAGTGCTCCGGTTTTCATAAGCACATAAATCTGCAACTTGTGGAGCATAAATAAGCTGCCCGTTCAGTAATTCGGAGAGAGGGGGTCTACACCGTGGCTATTGCTGGCAGGTAGCTGTACAAATTTAGTCGGTCTCTGCGGCTTGTGCGCCACTTTAAAATGCATTAGAATCCAATAAACCATTTTACTATCGCACACAAGCAAAACCTCTACGATGCTTTGAGGAATAAATTAATTTACAATTGTCGTTTAAGAAAAACCAATACACTATTTAGACCTAAATACGTTTTTCTTGTTGAAAAGCAATACCAAATTAATCTATTTGATATAAAATGAAATCAAATAGAGCATTATTTTATAACATTTTTGTATGTGTTGTATTAATTGCAGACACCAAATCCCGGAGACATGCATCCCACCGAACTGAGAAGACTGGTGCTGGGCGTCGTCATCGCGACCATCGGCCTGGCGCTGGGAGCAGGAGGAGTCCTGGGCGAGAGTTCGTCCACCTGCGGACCCAACTTCCCTGCGGCATGCAGCTGCGGCAAGGAGTTGTACGAGAGCGAACAGCAGTACGTTGTGAACTGCACGAACGCTGGACTGCGGAACACCAGTGTGCTGGAGTTCATGCCCGAGCAGGTCGAGGTGCTCATCTTCACGGGCAACCGGATTGCCGAGTTGCCGTGGAACGTCTTCGGCAGCATCAACGACTACAAGCAGCTGCGCATCGTGGACATGAGCAGCAACCACATCCGCGAGATTCGCGGCAAGAGCTACCATCATGTGCCGCGTGTGGAACGTCTGATCCTCAACCACAACAATCTAAGCATCTCGCGGTTCGACGATGAAGTGAACCATCACCATCCGCGCGTCTTCTCAAACTTCATAAACCTGCAGAGTCTCCATCTTACCGATGCCTTCGAGGACAACAGTTCGCCGCAGCTGAGCGAGGATCTGCACGACATCTTCGTCAACAGCCAGCTTGTGAAGCTGCAGAAGCTCCATCTGGAGCAGAACGAGATCACGCACTTCAAGGACCGCAATGTCTTCTGCGACCTGCCCTCGCTGCGTGACCTCCACCTGGGCGACAACGAGCTGCGTGACGTCAACTTCGAGGTGCGTTGCCTGAACAACCTGCGCTTCCTCGATCTGGAGCGGAATAAGTTCGGCTTCGTCAAGCCCAGCGATCTGCGGGTGCTCAACGAGCTGGAGGAACGCCCCAACCGCACGGCCAACCTGATCGTGGACTTTAACCTGAACCCCTTCGTCTGCGACTGCCGCATCGCTCCCTTTCGCACGTGGATAACCAGCACCCAGGTGACGGTGCGCAACAAGGACAGCCTGATGTGCTTTCACTCGCCGGGCCGCGTGGACTCCTCACCCGCCCACCTCCTGCAGATGGATATGGCTCAGTGTGCGGACGCCATTGCCGCCGCTGCCACGATCCTGAACACCGCCGAGGAGGAAAAGCTCTACGGAGGAGCCGAGGCGTCTATCCAGCCGCAGGCTCACATCAGCGGACACACGGCCACTCTGATCTTCCTGCTGATCGTGCTCAGCATGATCCTGCTGGGACTTCTGGTGGCGCTCGTCTACGTCAGCCGTGACAAGTTGAAGTACATGATCACGCCGGTGTTTGACAACGTGGCCAAGAAGGTGCAGTACACATCGATCAAGGACGAGGACTGCCCGGAGGTGCACGTTTAGAGACTACACAAGAATACTTCACAGGATCAACATAAGAAAAGAAAAGGGAGAGGATAGAAAGCCCGGTTTCCATTTTGAAATCCGATGAAAAGTAACGCCATTTGAATTCTAAAAATTTATTCGGATTCACAAGAGTTTATGCGATTTTAATTTCCTTGAGCTGTAAAGATTTCTTTAATAGAACAAAATCTTTGTAAACAATTTTTAAAAAAGCTTGATCGGAATTGAACCCGAGACCGGGCCTATAGCCTCAGTTTCGTTTTTGCCATTCGCGTTACGCAAAACGTGTGCCATTCACAGCAGAAGGGAATGAGAAGGAGGAAACAATTGGATCACTTTATAGTCCTAACCCGAATCAGGACTCCATCCTCTTGTTTCGTAGTACTTAAGCCTATTGTTGCATTTACAACAGATGGAAAAAATTACTGCAACACAACCATATTACACAGACAACAAACACACAATTTCGTTAGTTTTAGCGGTTTTCTAACTTAACCTTAAGTCAGTTATGCGTTCTATGATTTCTACACAAAGGAATCGTACGAGATCAGAAGGCAAAGCGGGCCTGTAACAACCGATTTGACCACACATATATAGTGACATATATATATATAGAAACAGACACATCTATATACATGCATATATCGTAACAAACACTTTAGTGTTATCTGTGATTTAAGTTTAGTAGCTTTACTTTGTTAAAACTCTGCAGAACGAACATTTGAAATCGATATTGGTAAAAAAAAAAAAACTTTAATTCTTTTATAGCATAACAGATTATTCTATTCTTAAAAAAATGTAAAATGTTTGGATGCTTAATATGTTATTAATCAATTAATTTGTCAATTATACTAGCTATACGATGATTTCGCCCTTGATTAACTACCATTAACAAGCATTTTTTATAAATAAACTTTTGAAAAACGAAAGTGTACGTCTTTTTAATTTATAGAATTATTCAAGAAGGACACCTTTTTGACTAAAAAGTATTTTTATATTAATAAAACGGTTATTGGATTTGAATTTTGACAGTTAGCCGCTATCGATGTGATAGTTCGTGATTTTAGTGGCACCCCTGGTTTCAGCTATCGATAACCGCGTACCCAAAATTCAGTGTATTTTCCAACACTTCTTTGCCCGCCGTCTAAAAAAATAATAAAACTATTGTTTATTTTGTGAGTTCCAGTTTTATAGATATATTCTAAGGTGTTTTAAAGTTATAGTAAATATTTTAGAGTACAAATTTTGTTGTTTCTATTTGAATCTTTATTAATGTGCTTTATTGACAAGGTCCAGGCTGGCAACTAAAAATGATCGTGTTAAATTTCAACTTATCGTTCGAATAAGTTATCATTAAATTTCTAATAATATTTATTTCACAAGCTACCAGCTGGCAGTGATATGTATGGTTTATTGCAGCTGTTCTTAGGTGAATTTCAATGTAATTTGCAATTTCAGTAGTACTTTCCACGTATTTGTTTATTTGCATATTACATTGTGCAAGTGTGTGTGAGCGCCTTAAACAAACCCGTATTCGCATATAGATATTCCGCTAGTCTAATCAGAATTCAGTGCCATTATGCAACGTCACTGCGCTCCAGCGTTTAATTCCAACAATTGCATTTAACCAGTGATATTTTATTGTTACATTGAAGATCAAACATTAGACACACAGACAGGCAAAGTGCGTGCTTATCGCTCAATAAACCGACACGCGGTGATAAGAGCAAAGGGAGCAATCAGTCACTAAAGTCACCTTCTTTCAGATGCTTCGCAGCTGCCGATTAACCCTATCCGCCGCCAAGAGAAGCCTGCAGGCTCAGATCCAATTTCAAGTCCAGCGCCAGCAGCAAACCGCCTGTAGCATGGACAAGTTCGATCTGCCCAAGAGATTGCAGGGCAGCACGCCCAGCGTCTGGAACGAGTACATCGCCCTAGCCATGCAATACAAGCCATTGAATCTGGGCCAGGGATTCCCCGACGATGCCGCCCCCGAGTACGTGACTCAGGCGCTGGCGGACATTGGCAAGGACGAGAATCCTCTCCTGCATCAGTACACTCGCGGCTACGGGCACGTCCGGCTGGTCAATGCGCTCTCGAAGCTGTACAGCGGTCTTGTCGACAAGGAACTGAATCCCCTCAATGATATCCTGATTACCTCTGGCGCCTACGAAGCGCTCTACTCCACCATCATGGGCCATGTGGACGTTGGCGATGAGGTGATAATCATTGAGCCCTTCTTCGACTGCTACGAGCCAATGGTCAAGATGGCTGGCGGAGTGCCCCGCTTTATTCCCCTCAAATTGGTGAGAAAAGCCATGGAAAACTTAGAATAGTTCTCATATTTAAAAGCCCCATTTGTAGAGCAAAACGGAGGGTCCCATCAGCTCGGCGGACTGGGTGCTGGACGATGCCGAATTCGAGAGCCTGTTTAACTCGAAAACCAAGATGATAATCCTGAATACACCCCACAATCCAATTGGAAAGGTCTTCAACCGTAAGGAGCTGGAGCGGATTGCCGAACTTTGCCGCAAGTGGAACGTACTATGCGTGTCGGATGAGGTGTACGAGTGGCTTGTCTTTGACGGAGCGGAGCACATCCGCATCTGCACACTGCCGGGCATGTGGGACCGTACCATCACCTTGGGTTCGGCGGGCAAGACCTTCTCCGTGACCGGCTGGAAGATCGGATGGGCTTACGGACCAGCCCAGTTGATCCGCAACCTGCAGATGGTGCACCAAAACTCGGTATACACCTGTCCCACGCCCCTGCAGGAGGGCGTGGCGCGAAGCTTCGAGGTGGAACTGGCTCGTCTGGGCAAGCCGGAGAGCTACTTCCTCAGCTTGCCGCGCGAACTTAAGCAGAAACGAGACTACATGGCCAAATTCTTGACCGATGCCGGTATGCGACCCACCATTCCCGAGGGCGGCTACTTTATGCTGGCTGACTGGTCGCCTCTGACGGACAAAGTCGATCTGAGCTCCGAGCCAGACAAGCACCGCGACTACAAGTTCACCAAGTGGATGACCAAGAACATGGGCCTGCAGGGCATTCCGCCCAGCGCCTTCTACAGCGAGCCCAACAAGCATCTGGGCGAGGACTTTGTGCGCTACTGCTTCATCAAGAAGCAGGAGAACCTGGACAAGGCGGCCGAGCTACTCGGCAAGTGGAAATAGTCGCCGGACAATAAACGAATTTGTTTCAATTGCTTTGTTTATCTCTGCCGAACTGCAGTTCCCTAACCTTGGTGTTATGCAACCAAGAGGGAAACAACCAAGTGCTGGTGTGGTAGCCTTACTCCAATCTCCATTTATTAATAATCCAACAACATGTTCATCCGCACCATACATTGGATGGGTAGCTAGTGTCGCTGTACTGTGTGTATTATCGTGTGTTGTGTATTTAAACTAGTCCAGCAGAGTGCTCTGCTTAGGCATCGTACACGGACTTCAGGGCCAATTCGGGCTTGTCGTAGCCCAGCTCCTCGATGGTTGGGATACCCAGCTCCTGCAGCGTGGGAGTGATCTTCTCCAGCAAGTAGGGGTAGAGGGTGGCCTTCTGGTCGCCGCACTTGTCCTTGCATCCCTCCAGCCACCTGATGGCCAAGGCGATGTCGTTGACGCGACGGGTGGCGCGTAGACCGGCCTCGATGATCTTGGGGCTGGGCACCAGATCCATGCCCAGCAGATCGTTCATGCCCTTACGGATCTCCCAGCCGTCGATTCCATCGCGGCTGAAGTACTTCTCGTAGCGCTTGTCGAACTCCTCTGCCGATTCCTCGGTTCCGTGCAGACAGCGCACGGCGGCCACGCGCGACGATGTGCCGACGAGGCTGCCGCGGAGGGCACATGCCAGATTGCGGGCCGTAATGCTCAACATGGCTGCGTTTTCGGACAGAAAAATGCTGTTTAATTGCAAAAATTTGGTTAAGTAACAGCTCGACTCACTTTTCTTGTTCTTGCTACTTTTCACACGGGTATGACAGATCTGAGAGACGGTTGGCAGCGCCTGCGGGCCAGGGATGGGAAACTATCATTTGTCAGGGACTGGCAGCACTGGCATAACAAACACAGGACATCGATAGTCGCAGAAAACAATCGATAAGAAGTGTTCCATCGCTAATACACCATCTCTACCATCTTGACGCGTGCTCTTTAAAAGCAAACTCTCTGAAAAATCGTGTGTAATAGCCTATCTGGATAAAGCACAGAAGATATAGCAAGTTGCGGAAGTGCAGAAAAAGGTAAACCAATCAAATTGATACCAAGTGTGGTTTTTCCAACCGTATATTTTGCGTACAAGCCGTGCAAATTGACATGCGCGATTAGGGGTGACTAGAAATCAAAATGGCGTACGCAATGCAAAAAAAGGAAGCAAGCGTCGCACTTGAGAATCACCGGTTGAAAAAATCGCATTTACACAGTTTATATTACTCAGAACTTGTCAACTGATCGAACATACTCTTTCCCACTCACATCCGATAACTGATACAACCGGTTAATCCCGATTTGCAGACAAAGAGCGACTGAAAAATGGCAAACGCAGACGTGCAGTTCAACTACGGCCAGCAGGGCAATGGCGAGAACTTCAACGACGACAGCAGCCAGCAGCAGGACGACGACGACCAGTACGACGGTGACGGCAGCGTGAAGATCGAGAATGTGGGCGAGAGCCCCAAGTTCGTCCGCCTGCGCGGTCTCCCGTGGTCCGCCACGCACAAGGAGATCCTCGACTTCCTGGAGAACGTGAACGTGACCAATGGCTCGGCGGGCATCCACCTGGTCACCAGTCGCGTTGACGGCAAGAACACCGGCGAGGCTTACGTGGAGGTGGCCACCCAGGAGGACGTCGAGGAGGCGCGGAAGCTGAACAAGGCCAGCATGGGCCACCGCTACATTGAGGGTTTGTTTGCCACACAACTGACTGTATTTGAAATTAGCCGTAGCAGTAGGGTAGTTTAAAGATAGTAGTGATTTGTATTACGTCTCTCTGCATATATTTTTATTGTCTCAATCAGCACCATAGTCTGTCTGATATTACTTACAATAGTTTGGCAATCGTTAATTTGTCAAAGCCAAAAATAATAATTTTTTTGCCAATTGATTTTTTTCGAGGTCTGAAGGTAAAATAATATTATTTTATTATATATATTATTGGGAATAATGCTTTGTAAGAAGCCTTTATCATTTTGGAAAATGTTAGGGTGAAATGAATATACAACAGGAAGGTCGCTTTCAAGAGTAATAATTTTTTTTTTAAATACATATATAGTTTCTACTTTTGGTCATACCATTAATTTCTAATCAGGTGTAAATAAAATATAAACAAAAATAGGTATTTTTGAGGACTATCAATTTGACATCGACCATTTGTGATCATTATTATTCGCAGTTGTCATTAAAACTGTTTTTGCATGTTAGAGCTTTCAACTGAAAACACAATCAGTAGGCAAAATAAAAGTTGTTTCTTCTACGATTTTACTTATATATATTTTCTTTCTTCAGTCTTCACCGCCACTCCCAAAGAGGCCAAGGAAGCCATGCGGAAGATCAGCGGTCACGGCACTGCCTTCGTTGTTAAGCTTCGAGGTCTGCCGTACGCCGTCACCGAGCAGCAGATCGAGGAGTTCTTCTCTGGTGAGTGTCCATCCCCCGACCCCCATTTCGTATTGGTAGGCACAAGGAGCAAAGACAGTGGTTGACCGCATGTATTTCTTTTTGCACTTCGTTTGAGATATGGCCTACGGTCCCTCTTCATCTACACCTTTCATTCAATTACACATGCTAAACAGTACATATTTTCGGGCAACGAATTGCAGGCCCTTGCATTTGTGTAATGGGTTCAGCGGTGTACGCAGCTCCTTCCAAAGTCAACGGCTGAGAGTTGACGCGGTCACGTCCGCTTGTCCGATAAATCATTATTTCATTGGTCATATAACCCAGTTTACTTGGTTTACCATCATTTCACCCTTTTTAAACTGAGCTTCACACTTCAACGATTTACAGGAGCTGAGTTTTGTAATACATTGTGGTCGTGGAATCTCGATTGTAACATTGACATCTTTTTTGCGGATCGTGTTTCGACTGCAATAAATTTTTTATTTAAGCAACTGTTGCTGACTCCGTGAGCCTGCAAAAGTTCTGCGATGCAAGAACTAACTATACCATTTATCAACCTCTGTATTGTTGTTTCTCTATCTAAGCTTAACCTTGCATAATGTATATATATGAAATCTATATATTTGTATAAATCTTTGTTGGTTATCGTCATGGGCAGGGTTGGAAATCAAAACGGATCGGGAGGGCATACTTTTTGTTATGGACAGAAGGGGTCGTGCAACTGGGGAAGCTTTTGTTCAGTTCGAAAGCCAGGACGACACTGAGCAAGCCTTGGGCCGAAATCGGGAAAAAATTGGGCACAGGTGGGTTTCTAATTCATCATATCTTCTACAACAAAACAGCTGAAATTAAAACATAAAGTGGTAATCAATTGTGAACTTGTTGAAACACACAAGGCAAAATACAACACAAAATTTCCTTAGATTATTCACTAAATATAAAACTACTTTTATCATACCTAATTTCTATTTCAGTCACCGACAAACCAATTAGCAACAATTTCCAATAGCTATGGGTCTGGTGGGGCTCTTAATACTTGTTTAAGCGCCAGCATGTGCTTAATCTAACATAATATAACCTTGAACAGAGTTGTTTTCATTAGTCTTTATAACCAATATCTTTTCAATTGTCTCATTTTGGATTCCTTTTTTATTTTGTGATATGTAATAGTTAAACATCAAAAGAAAAACACCACCGACCCTAGCATATTTAAACTACAACTTTTAAAATTAATGTTTTCTGTTTTGATTCATATAGGTATATTGAGATATTCCGTAGCTCAATTGCTGAAATGAAAAGGGCCACAGGCGCCGGCGGTGGCGTCGGAGGACGCCCAGGACCGTATGACATACGTGATCGTGGAGCCAATCGAGGTGGTAATGATTTCGGCGGAGGACGCAATGGTAAGATTGCTGTTAAGTCATAAATAACTTACGAAAGAGACAACGTGAATATATATTACTACAGATAATCTCATTTATTTATTTTAACAGATTGGGGCAACAATGGCAACTTCGGTGTTGGTGCCAACAATATGCTGGGCTTCAACAACCTGCCAAGCTTGATGAACTCCGGCAATTTTGGAAACAACCAAGGAAATAGTGGAAATTTCGGAAATAATTCTGGGCCCAGCAATTTCGGCAACTTTGGTGGCGGCAACAACAACGCCGGCGGTGGAAACTCCGGAAACTTTGGAAATAATGGCGGTGGTAACGGAGGAAACTTTGGAAACTTCGGCAACAACGGAGGCGGGAACTTCGGCGGCAACAACAACGGCGGCGGAGGCTTCAACAGTGGCAACAACTTTGATTCGCCAGGAGGCAATAATAATTTTGGAAACAATGGCGGCTCCAATTTTGGCAACAATAGCGGAGGAGGCTTCAATAACGGAGGCAACTTTGGCTCGTCAACTGGCGGTGGCAATTTTGGTCCTATCGGTGGCGGTCGCAACAACAACAGCGGCAACTTTGGAAACTCTGGGTTCGGAAACTTTGGAGGTAACAACAATAATGGAAACGGTGGCTCCAACTTCGGGGGTGGCAACAATGGCGGCGGTGGTGGCTTTAACAATGGCTCAAACTTTGGCGGTGGCAACTCCGCTGGAGGCGGTGGCAATTTTGGCCCCATCGGCGGAGGCCGGGGCAATGATGCCGAGCATTATACCATCCACATGCGAGGACTTCCCTACACTTCCTTTGAAAATGACGTTTTCAAGGTACGTTTAGTTTAATGAAAACCAAAATTAAGCATATCATTCACTAAAGTATTTTCTTTATAAGTTGTAAAGAAAAAGATTTGAAGATTTTCAATTAACACTTAAATAAAACCAATTTTTCATTTCAGTTCTTCGAACCCATTCGGCCCGCTAATGTGCGGATCAACTACAACAAAAAGGGTCTGCACAGTGGAACTGCTGATGCCTACTTCGACACCTACGAGGATTCACAGGTGGCCATGAAGCGCCACCGAGAGCAGATGGGTTCGCGCTACATTGAGCTGTTCTACGACGGAAAGACCCGGGGTGGAGCCAATGGAAACAACAGTGGCGGAAACGGAGGTGGTAATGGTGGCGGCGGAATGGGCAACAATGGCGGCGGCGGCGGAGGCAACGGTGGCGGTAACTTTTCGCGACGTATCTGAAAACTTCCATAGTTCCGATTACATTGAAATTAATGTAGACGCAAGTATTTCATAATTTTATGATGAAGCCGAAACTGTAAACCGCTATGGCAACATTACAACCACGTAAACCACTTAACTATCAAACAGATTTCCGACAGAGACAATTGGTCCGACTTAGAAACCACATTTCTGATTGTAAGCCAATGAACCATCAAGAATAAAGAGCACACTCTTATTTAAGTACTTTATTCTTTAGAAATTTCAATCCTAATATTTAAGTTTCAATTATTAATTTAGGTTTTTTCTAAAATAAACTTTTGTTTTTACATAAAACAAAGTACTGCCTATGTGTGTTTATATCATTTTAAATTTTTCACTTGAATATAGGTTTAAAGCTCCCGGATATGAACTTATCGCTACTGGCCTTAATAATAAAATATATTGTGTGGATACAGATGAGGAACATGTTAACTTTCCTATAAGTACACAGCTGTTTAAAAGCCTTTGATAGTACCATTTTCAGCCCACAGTAATTGACAATTTCAATAAAAAGTAAGTTGTAAATTGCATAAACAAAATATTTGCTTTTCTAGCACTAGCACGTCACAAGCTGTGTGGTAATGATATCTCTAAAGTCTTTTCCGGATCAATAGAGAATGCAAAAAGTGATTTAAAATTTTCTTAGTCTTAAAATAGCCCGGAGACGAACAAATACCGTGAAAGCCGGGGATAACAATTTTTAGCTGATTGTTAAAGATAACTTGATAGGATAAGAATTTGTATACTTTTTAGGCTTTTACAGTATTTTTTCGTCTCCGGTGCTTCCATTTAAAGATATCTTACTTACTAGTGGGCAAAGATTAAATAGTATAGATCTATCGTTTCACTTTCTTTAAGACACAGTTGACAGTTCGGTATCTCTGTTGCGATAGATAACGAACTGTCAATAAATTTGCGTGTCTATTTTGATCCAATGATCATTTCTCATAATTGTACCAATAAACGGAATGCTGAAAATAGATAACGTATTACGAAGTACCGAGCTATTTGCCTTGCGGCCAGTTATGAGTTCTCGTAAAATGGAATCGTATTTAAATATACCTACTTATACTCAAAGGGGTTTTTGGCAGACGGCGGCTTCAAAGTTACTTCAGCTCTTTGACAGGCGCTGTGGCACAGCTTTTCTTTTTGCGATAAATATTTACTTAATTATGGCTTTTTTCCCATTTAAGATACCGGAATGATATCATGCTAATCACTTGTTTCTATTTGATAGGCCTTGATGCGCGTGTCGTTAAAAAAAAACTGTCAATTCGTCAGACAAATAAAACAATTTCGCTATAATTTATTCCGGCAAAAAGTGCTGCCTTTTTGCTGATGTAGAAAATAATTGTTTTTTGACCACCTTATTAGCCTAATTTTTATATAATAATCTGATTAAAAATATTTACTTTTTCTGTTGTATTTTATCGCCTCTATTCATAATTTAATGTTTGAAATGCTGTATACTGTGGTTTTTCGAACATTCCCGTCATATTTTCCACCCTTCTGTTGTCTCCATACATACATATACCAGGTGCTAATAAACAGACCACGTTCCTTGATTTATTTATTGCGAGGCGGATTTTAATTTTACGCAACAAGCGTAGAGATTGCCGATTTAATAAAAGTAGAATTTTCGGTTTACAGGGGAAAACACAGAAGAACAAGTTTGGCAAGTTTCATTTTCTTGCAAATAAGAAATCCCCTGATCTGGGGTTTCACAGAAATCTAAAGAGATTTTGAGGCTAGCACAAATTGGTAGGAAAATTCTTAGGTTTTGCAGTACATTTTCGCATAGCTCGATCTAACCTCTGCTTATGTATGTTGCCTATGTTTTTGTTTACAAAAAATCTCAGGCTTACTATATTTTCAAGTAATATTTACTTTTTATTTGTGGTGGTTGGTGGTCTGAGCTCAGAAGATTTTTTATAACACTCAACAAATCCCATTCATAAACGCGCCGAGAGTCAAATCTAGAGACTTACTAACTCAGATTTTTATTTCGCTCCATAAAGAGCTTGTTGCTGATAAGCATTTCGAATCGGAATCGTAAAGAGCTCCCGGTTCCACTCTCTTTTTGTTTTTTGTTTTTTAGTAGCGTGCCCAACGGAAGGCAAATTTTCCACCAAATTAAGTCAATCGTTTGGGGATAATCCAGGCAGTGCTTTTGGATGTGGATGCCCAGTCAGCTGATCGATGCGAGCGAGCGAATATGGAAATACTGTAACTATATGGACGTCATTAATCTTGGCCGAGACCGCGACTGCGGGTGATAAGCAGTGGCTCCAACACCACCTCCACCTATTCAGCGAGAATGAGCAGTGGTGGCTACGACGACGACGACGGCGACGACGACGCCAGTCAATGCCAGAGCGCGAAGCGGTCGCGTTGACATCGGTAGCTGCTCTCCAATAATAATTCCAATACAATATTATTCCGGCGACCAGACCAGCTAATATCGCCCATGCTAATTGCTGCGCTGTGATACGCGATTCGGTTCCGAGTTGACTACTACTACTGGGTCGGCCTGGGTTGTCTGGTTTGTCTGGGCTGTCTTTCTGCTCCAAGTTCGATCGATGAGACGCCAGCAAACATCGGAAATCAGTCAGTTCCAAAGTGAGTGCAATCAATCCCAAGTCTTCCACTTGGTATGTGGAACCAGGCGATCGCCGCCGTAACAATAACAACACTAACTAAGGCAGCCAAACACGCGCCACAGGTGTGAGCAGGTGGATCGCAAAAAAGGTGACGGGGCGGTATCTGTGTTCTCATTATTCTCATTTGGATTCGGATTCGCATTCATGACGTTTTTGTTTTGCATCTTTGCGCCGTTTTAATTGATTTTATAACGAGTACATAAGCCTGTGTGTTACTACAGTAAAGATATATAACTGTATGCAAATATTGACAAAGATACGTTATGTAGATCCCCGATATGAGGAATACTTTGGTGATATAAGGTGTCCAAAATGTATAATTATATAGTAAAAATGCTCTACAACGAATGCTGTTGTTTGGCGAATTACTCGGCCTTTGTTGTGTTTGCAAAAATAATTTTAATAGTATATTTTTGGCAAGCTTTGAGTTTTTTGCACGGACTTGGAATAATATTTTCCGTGATATATTTTTGGCCCACAGCAACCAGTTAGCACTGCAATTATGTATCTTAAGTGGGTGCACTTATAAATGGTAATTCTTACAGCTTAATTTTAAGGGTCTGGCTTAAAGTCCCATTAAAAAGTATTCCAAAACTTGAGCAGGCAATCTGGGTTGCCCTATTCCGCTTTTAACAAGATTTGTCTTTCCCATTAAGAGTATAAGGTTTCTTCTTATCTGCTAGAACAAATATGTGCACTCATGTTTATATATTTTTCAAGTGGTATACGAAATCCGTGCCGTAATGGCCTGACTCAGATTTGCCATTATAAAAGTATCTCAGCTATGTTGAGAATTTTTTAAACTATTGATATGTGTTTAAAAATACAATAATAGGATCGAATCACTTCCTCTTAAAAGTGTTCAAAAAGAATTCCAAGCTTTTACTTCATTATACAGTTTTCAAAGCACAAATTGGTTTATAATCAACAGTCCCAATGAATAAATCCAATCAAAAAATCACAAAGCTATTAAATAATTTGAGACCCATTTAAATTGGTAATAAATATTATCTGGCTTTTAGCCGATCAATATAAAAACCAAGTTAAAGCAATCGAAACAAACAATGTATAAGTAAAATTATTTAAATTTATTTTGTTTAATAAGTAAAAAGACCAAATCTGTGCCACAGTCCACTTTTTACTTGCTGTTGTGGTTTTAAGGGCCTTCATCCAAACCCAGACGATTGTGGAAGCACTACATATTCGCAAGCCCATAAATTTGCCAAAATAGGCGCCATAATAGTGACAAAAGATTAAAATAATGTAATAAATCTTTAAATCTTAAAAGTTGGTCGTTGGTACATATAAAAATAAAACCACCATAAATTATTCCGCCATAATCCACTTTACGGTAGAATGCTCCTGCACATTGCTCTAGTATTTGGTGTCAGCTTGCCACAATGATAAGGCTATACAATAAGGTCTATCGTTCAGTCGAAATCAAAACAAACATTGAAATACCAGCTTTTAGGCCCTGCATACATTTTATTCCTCCTATATATGAGATTAAATATTACAACGAATTTACTTGGAAATATACTTTATATTCTTATCGAGTTTAAATGTAACGCCGGTTTCATTTGGATCATTTTAAATACGTAATATATATTATTAGAATAAATATTTTACGTGCCTTCCTTAAAATCGAACCTTATAGCAAATGGAGCCTTAGTCATATGTAAATTGTTATGTTCATTCACTACTATATCGTGACGCTTTGAATTAACCGCTGTTGTTATTCGCCCGCTCACAACATTGTTATACACCTGTTATTATTTTGCCCGTTTTTGCGCCACTTATCAGTTGAGATGCTTGCATAGCTGGTTGGGAACACATGCTCCCATGCCAAATTCATTAGCTGATATCACTCTCAACCCATTATTTTTGTTTGTTTATATTTTATATTCATTCCCGATTCGTTGCAGATCGCCGACACACCCTGGCAACACTCATTTTGATAAGGAGATAATTAAACTGTAATACATTTTCCCGATTTGCCTTTCGTCGGGGTCGTCGCTTTTGCCGGTGTTAATTAAGCCTTCACACACTTAAGTGTGCCACTTGAAATGAACGTTCGGAACACATATAAGTATAAACCTCTTAAGCGCTGCCTTATCGCCAGCCGGATTCGGCCAACGGAGTAGACAAAAGTAAAAAGTGATCTCACAGATAACGCCGTCGGGGAGCGGAATCCGATTCGGTATCAGTAGTATCAGAAGCAGTAGCAGTAGCAGTTTCCCAGACAACGTCGTCGTCCAAATCCAAGTCCAAGTCGAAGTCGCAGTCCGCCGGCAGTTGCTAAAAAAGCAGCAGCATATTCATAAATAATCGTTGGTCGCGGCCACATCGGCGGATCAACTCCACTCCACTGGCCATTGAAAGGAAGTCGGTCTTGTGACTTCGTCGTGGTGCTGATAATTGAATTTAATGCACAAATGAGCCCAAGGAATTTGCTTTCATAAAGTGACGAATGCAAACCCACCGCTTGCATTGTCTGCCATCGCCAAGAAATTTCACTTCCGAGTCGCACATCACTCCCGCTTAAAGATGAAGACGACCAGAAACGGAGGTCAGCTGCTCATCGCTCCCTCGCCCACAGCCCGACTAATGCCCCTGCGCACGTACTCCAATGCCTCCTCCCTGGGTCACCACCATGACAGAAGTCCTCTGCCGGACGGAGACGTGGAGGAAGGCGGTCTTGGCTACACCCACACCCTGGTAAGTGAAATTGGAAGTCCATTCTGAGAAGGTCCTGAAACCATTTTTCAGTGTCTAAGGTCTTAGCCCTTCTTAAATGTTTTAATCCTAATCCAGATTTGTATTAAATTTAATTTTTACGAAATATAAACAAGTCCATTTTAAAACTAATACTAATTTGATCCCTATTTAAAACGAAACGTACTTCACTGAAGGAATTTCTTATGATGAACATTTTAAATAAAATACAGATGAGGTTGCATATGCATCGACATTCTTTAAAAAATCAGCACTGTTTGATTTATGCACACAGCTTCATTTTATTAGGAATTTCCTAAAACTAAAGATTTGAAAATTTTCAGATATTAGCTTATCATTAGCTTTTAAATAAAAGAAAACTCAGTATACAGTGGATATTATAAGTCATCATAGAGATTTCAATTGTCATTACTTAAGATTGTTAATAGCTAATTTTACATAAAGATAACTATCAGATTCATTTAGTCTCAGAATGTACATCCGTCATTCCATATCGTTTTGAGGTTTTATATTCACTGCTCTATTGGCATGTTTGTTTGTGGTTAGACGCATTGGGCCGTTAATATATATCCGCATGATCAAACACATTTTCAAAGCTAAATAATATAAAAAACATTGATGTGTTTTAGAATCTTTCATTTTCTAAAATCTAAAACCAAACAATTCATTTGTACGAATCATTTCTGCCCTGTGACCTCATGAATTGCGGTACTCTTTTGTGACTCAGTGAAAAAGGAAAAATATATATAGTTAGAGAAATGCAAAAAAAATTTCGGATATGAATATGTGCAAATTGTTTCTTCGTTTAAGAAAAGTGAATATTTTTCATTTATTTTTTATTTTTTTTAAATATAATATACCGATGCACCACTTATTCAAATTTATTGTGATTCATACGTCTTGTGTTCGCAAGTTATAAATTTAGTCCATAAAGTTTATTGGGGGTGGCGTGAAAACTTACCAGTTATCACGACAATTTTATTGATCGAGAATTGATTGATTGTTTTACAATGTCAATCGGATTCATGAGCATAAGCTTTGCTATTTTACCACAGCAATTTCCGAAAGTAGCGCCGGATGCTAATCTATTAAGTGGGGTAACACCCAAACGAATTTTCTAAAAAAAAAAAAACAAATATTCGATTATAAACAGAGCCGTAAATACCCGTGCTAATAGGAAAATACATTTATCTATTTAAAGCCCACAATTGTGTTTGCATTAGAACACCTACAACGACCCAACTTGTTTGTTATTAATTTTTTTTATCGTAATTGGTGGACTGGAAATCCCGGGTTGATAATAAATTGCCGTCTACTGAATATTTATTTACATAAACACGTCGGTATGGCGCTTAGATTTGGCAATTCCAACCTTGTCACAGTTGGTGTCATTAACAAGGGGGATTACTCGATCGTATTTGTATTAGTGCCTCACCAGCAGCCGAGTTGATTAACTTAGATTCTTATTCTGATCAGTAAATACTCTTCAACTATGTATAAAGAGTAATCCATTAAATATAACATTTAATATATATATTAATATATATGAATATAGGTTCGATATTATTTTAGAGAACATTGCTGAATAGAACCTGATTTTTAGTGACTTTTCGTGAGGGTATAATTGAGTTCGCTAAGCCTTTTACACATTTGTTTCTTGTTTTACTTTTTCCGCTCATGTGATTAACATGTGACTATTTGCTTGTTTTTACTTCATTTGCTTTTATTTTTTTTAATTTTTGTCATGTGCTGTGACACATGTTGCTCAACATACAAATGGAATAATATTGACCTTAAGGATAATGTGTGGCCATTTAATGCCACTGCGTAAAGGCTCTAGCTTAAAGATTGAAAAGTACTTTATATCTAAATGTTTGATGATGAAGCGTTCCTTTCCAGATAAATCTAACGCAAACCCATTTCATCTAAAATTAGTTGAGACTCTATAATTAGCACCTTGAGATAATTGCAACAGTGAATGTAACTTTTCTAAATTCCTAAATAATGTTAAAATATGTGAACTTATCTTTTGACAGCAGTATTTAACAAAATTCTTAAGCCTGCAATTAGATGTCAGAATTGCTTAAATTTTAATTTATTACACTGTAGTTTTATAGCAGGCAATGACCTGGCGATCGATTTATCACCTGATAACCGAAAAGGAAGTATTATCCATCTGGATTTGACTGTTTCTTATCGGCGTTATATTGATCCATCCATCAAAATCGACTGCTTATTAATAATCACTTTCAATTAGTTAACCGTTTTGGGGATTTGCCAGAATAAAACGTCTCGATTAAATGTGCTTAACAATGTCGGTGTTGGCTTTTTATTATATTTTTAATAGGCCATGGAAGTATGTCTTCCTGCTTAAGTCATAAAGTTATTTAGCTAAAATTATATATCTTTATAGCGTGGTATTTGCGCTCACGCGCTGCGTGTTTATCTTTTCCCCATGGATATGAGCGAATAGCCCACATACTTATATACCAAGATGCTAAGCGATATATTTGCTCAAAGATTTCATTCAATTTTTAATTAAGTTCGGTAGCTTTTGTGCCCCATCCTTTATTGTTTTTCACAATGCTGCAGGTGTTGTTGCTATTTGGACCCTTATCGCGGTTTTTGTGGCTCTGGAGGTGTTTCTAGCAATGTCTGAGATGCTGGCTCCCCAGTCGCCACACAGTTTTAGCCAAGATCACTTTGTTTTATCGCAAACCTGCTAATTTCTATCATATGAGTTCGAAAATGTCGCTTCACAAAAAAGTAAGTAAATTATCATATCATCCACATTTATTTTGGTCTCTTTACCTGTTTGTGCCATGAATAAACTTAAGTTTAGGTAGAATTATTATATGAAAGTTAATTGATTGGAGTATGATCCATGATCGTATTTCCAGGTATTATTTCCTTTCCATTCAAGGGCATCATAGGAGTTTTATTACATAGAATTCTTGGTGCATAACTTTAGATTTGTATTTAAACTGGCGATGATTTTACCAGATTTAAACGAAATTATACGAACAAAGTGCAACAGCACGTACCTTTAACTGTATGATTCATCGGAGCTATTATTTTTCACATTGAAATTTTCAAAGAATTTAAAATGGTTGAATGGTATCATCATCATAGTCAAATTTTCAATATTTTTAAGAGTCATTCTTTAATAAACTCTGCAAAGTATGCACAAGTCTAAGAACACATGTTTTTAGGTTTACTTTATTTATATGACTGCAAGTTAACCCTTAAACAGATCAACACTGAAGTAGTCCTTTTTACCCTTCTATTCCTTGAATTCGGACTCAAGGACTTTTATAAGTAAAAAGATTAAAACCGCTTTGACAAATTTAAACCTAACAGAAACATAATGCCCGATTTCTGTCGAACACTGCTTAATTGGCCAAGCAGTGCGCTGATATATAACAGAACGTGATAAGCTTTCACTCTCTTTAAATTGTCCTCTCTTAAATGACTATTCCCATATCAATTTTCTGAAAGTTATGAAAGTTTAAGATAAAGGTCTGAGTACTCTGTTTACACCCCGACTAACGATCTATACCTATTTAGGGTTATCATTATCGCAAATTGGGGGTACAACTTGTAGATTGACTAAGACAATAATCAAATATAAAATAGTTCAGACGGACTAAAAGAACCGGTACACTTAAATGTGATAAATCCAACAGATGCTCGAAGACATGTGACCCAATGCCTAGTCTACACATTGAGACTATTAAAGCAAGTAATCGCAATTTATGCGGCTTAAGTGATCCGACACAGTGGGCTGAGCAATGCAAAAATTGTGAAAGAAATTATGCATTATCTTATGAGCTCTCAGTTGACGATCAGATAAGGGAAAACTATATTTTCGTTAAAACTTTAAAAGACGAAATTATGCATTTAATGAGTAATAATAGTAATTTGAAAAATGTAAAAATGATTTTCAAGGACAATTCAAATTATGTACCTCTTTATGTTGTCAAAGGTTGAAAGTACCTAGAAAAAGTGTTATCAAATAAAACTAGAGCCAGACCACTGTGCACCGCACTTCGTGTCATCCAAGCGCTTGGCATTTTCACTTTTTTGCCGTTGACCAGACCGCAGATTATTAAATTTATGAAATTCTATTGATGTTTACACGCAAACTTTGACCGCTCGAGAGTCACTGGTTGTACATGGGAACTATATATCTGGCGACAGGCGTCCGCAAACTTGAGACTGCTGGAAGACCAGACGAGTGCGTCGGTGTCTGTGTACTAAATTTAATGGAATCTTGAGTTTAAGCGGGACCAGAGCGGTCTATTCTCATGACACTATTCAGTTGGATTTAAGACTCTGCTCGGCTCACACATATTTCGCAAACGGAATTCAAATACGGGAAATGAACGATATCTGTGGCATGGATGTGACGAAACCGTATCGGTCCCATCTTTGATAGTGCGCCATCGATCGCGTTTAATTGCCATAAACCCATTAAAAACCCATTCGAACTGACACCAGCAGTATGGTTTATTTCGGCGATAGGCAACGCGATCGCAATCGCGATCGGAGTAATCAGAAAGTCGAGCGAATCATTCACGATGAAGAGTTTGGCGAGGAGAACGTCGAGCTGGTGGACTCGGAGTGGGCGGACTTCGAGAAGTTCATTTGCCAGTTGCGAAAGCGGCGCAACAGCAACATGTCCATCGGGGAGGAGCTGCGTCACGTGCAGCGGCAGCCGAAGATCAAGTCCCACGCCTTCTACCCGTGTCCGCCGCCAGCCGAGAATGCACGCGACTCGGACTCCTCGGACGAGGATGACCCCATCGGATACATCGACACTCTTGTAAGCAAACCTGGAGATCTGATATATAGTAGAATATGATTATTATTGGCAAATCCATTTTTCTGGTTGGTAACGCAATTCAAACAATTCTTATCTGTAGGTCTGTCCCAGACACTTGCATACGTTTCCTTTGGCACTTGTATAGCAACGGTCGAAAAAAATAGTAATTAGTTACTGGTCTTAAATAGTTTTTTCATTTATATAACATTTGCAAGGTCAAAGTTTAATAGACTTTTGTTAAAATATAAAAAACGAAACATAAAACAAAAAATTGTTTTGGCCAAATGTTTCTTTCTTTGCTGTTGAAAAAATAAAAGCACAAACATTATGTAAAAATGACTTTTATGATTTTGAAAATTTATAATTTTACTTATTACATAATATATTTTATTGTTATGGCTTATGTGGCCTTATTTCTTAACCGCGAGTGTAATTTATATAAGCATACGTCTGCGAATCGTCGTGATTATACTACCAATAAGTCTGATTATCCGACTTTCTTATTATTATTACCCCTTTTCATGACGCAAAGAGCTTCAAAATTTTTATAACTGCTCACGTAGAGGCAGTCATAAAATATTTAAGTTACATATGTTTTTAACAAGCTGTTAAGATTTGCTAAAAACAATAATAAATTGAAAACGAGCCCGGTGAAATATTTAAAAATTCACTTCGACCATTTTCAAAATCAATCATTCGCACTGTGGACATGGCGATGAAAATCAAATTGATATTTGTATTGTTTATTTTTTTAAATTTAATAACACCGAAATGTAGCATCCACTGTTTTATTTGAACTTTGTTCGTCACACACGTTTGGAATGAACATCTGCCGTGAAACCATCGATCAAAACAAAAACTTTTTATGATTTCTGAATGGTTTTCCAAGCTTTCGCTCGCCGCTTTTCTTGCCAGTTGTCTCTGGCGATTTTCCCACTTCTATTCGCATCTGGGCCTTTGTAAAAGCAATGCAAAAACAGTGTACGAATGACAAAACAAGCAAAGACATTAGCTATTTTTAATCCGATTATAACGAAAAGTGTTTATTATATTTAAAGAAAGCAACGAATATTCCATTGCTAAAGGTAGTAGGGTGCCGGAAAAGAGTGACCGTACCGGGAACTCGTAGGTGAGAATTATCTGTATTAAAAAAACCTACAAAGCACTTAAATCACACACATGTAGTTATTTCAAGAACACATCCTAAATTGATAATCCATTATCGTGCAATTAAATTTACGATCCATTTTGAAATACCAAAGTATTTGCTTTTGATTGCCGAACGGTCAGAACTTAAAAACAATTTTAAGATTCATATTTTGTTTACACATCCCTCAGCCACTTTTTCATTTTCTTGTTGGCCATTTTTTAATATCGGCACAGCGTGCTACCCTGCCGCAGCGTCTAGCCAAAAGAAATTTCAATAATTTTCCACACAGAGCGCCGAAAGCTCGACAAGTCAGTTTAGTTTCAAAAAAGTTTACGCCAATACAAGAACGCTCGGTGGCAGTCGGAAAAACAGGCAATTTCAAAAATCAATAGATAATGGAAAATCATTAAAAAGTGCAAACTATTGGATAATATATGGGAAAGTTCTAAGGTGATTTGTAAAGATTTTCCGGGTCTCGATCAAGGCGATAAATCAAATTTATATGAACGGCCGAACCGTAAACCGACCACGGCCCAGAGTGAAATGTTAAAAATAAATGGCAATGCATTTTACAATCGCCGTGTTCCCGAGACGGGGCTCAAGGGCAGTGGCATCCACCTCTAATTACGTCTGGCAGTGAGATCCGAAAACTTGTACTGCATCCGAGATAACCGAAAAACTAAAAATAATTGGCAAAACAAGATGCGACACAAATATTCGGCCAACACCCGCGGGCATGTCAAAGGCCGCCACCCAGATCCGTTTGACTGTGACTGTGTCTGTGACTGTGACTACGAATTGTGATTATTTGATTGTGATTGCAACTGCGTCTGCGACTTTGATCGTGACTTTGAGTACGGGAACTCGTCCGTGTGCATCGCTTGCTTCATGTTTAACAACAGCCACTCGCACCAGGATGAGTACATTCGCGAATACGCCTTCGAGCCGGAGCTGCTGATCAATCGCGAGGACTACCAGCGCAAGGAGGAGCGCTCCCAAAAGTCCACCGCCTCCACGCCCGTCCGCCAGCGCTGGGATGAGGTCATTGCCAAGCAGAAGGAGCAGCACCGCAAGCAGAGCATCGATCCGCCCGGCGAAGACAAGAACCAGATCGAGATCGAAATCGAGGCCTTCTACTATGTGAGTGGCCGACGGGCCACCTGCTTAAGGCATCCATGGCCATCGGTGCAGCGGTAGACCCCCAGGGGCACAAAAGCACTGAAAGAAATTCACCCTGACGTTGGCCCTTCAACTTTTATCATCGATTGAGAAATTAAATAGGAAAAATGCACCTGTCATTAAAGCCTAAGAATCTTAAATGGAACTAAAATTGATTTAAAATATTGTTCTCAGTTAGAACCACATTCATCATGATCCGAAAAGGTTTCCGCCAGAGTATCACCTTATCACCTCTGCCCTTAACTAACTTCAATCAAAAACCTTGCAAAATCAAAAACCCTACGCTAAGTTAAAGTTATTAAAAATATTAATCTTATAATTATTAATTATTTTTACTTTTTAAGGTTTTGATTAAAAAGTACGTAAGGCTTAAAAATCAAAAATATGAAAACCAAAAGTAACGAAAATATGTTTCATTTCCTAAAATACTTAACCAAAACGATTGTTCAAAAATAATTGAGGATCTTTAATAACCATACTAATATATAGTATTTATTTTTTTATTTTCCTACATTGCAACGACCAACCTCTTGCATTGACCCTCAAAAGCAAACACATAAAGAAAATCACCCTGAGGCTTACCCTTCAATTCATAAATAAATCAGATTCTGCATAGGAATTTATAAAATTTCACTTCTAGATTTTCACTTTCTCAAATTATTTCGTGACCAAGAAAATGACGTATTCAGAATTTGGTTCACAAATAGTCTCAGCTGTTAGACATATCAGATCACCTTGACAAATGGTAGCACTCATTTACCGGTAAATAGCAAATTTCTTTAAGAAATATATTACTGGTAAACATAAAAAACATCCATATAAATTATTTTTAAAAAAACTCGAATAAGTTTTAAATACAAAAATTATAAAACTGTTTATAATATTAACCAAAAAGAAAAGCAAAGAAAGTCCCTATTAACAAAACCAATTTATAATATTTTACTAAATCGTAAATCTCTACTTATATAAACGTTGAATTTTAGAAATTTCGTCTCAAATTTTTTTTAGTGTATCTGTCTGTAGACTTCCTACTCTGTCATCAGTTCTTTTTCTCTTACCATTTGTCTAGAATACTCAAGGCAAATGTAATTGTTTGTTTTCAACACAGGTAGAACAAAAAGCTTCTTTGTTTGGTTTTTAAGATATGCATTTTCCATAATTATAATTAGAAAATATACACACACATTTTGACCTTTTCGATTTTATATTAAAGTTCAGGTCTTGACTTATTTTCTATTTATCTTCCCAGATGTATGGTCGTTATACCAAAGATCTAGGAGAATTTGCCAAGGATGAAGCCAGAAAGCTCAAAATACTCGAAAAGCGACGAAAGCAGGAAGATAAACAAAGGAATAAGGTAAAATTAAATAGAACGTTAAAGCATCGTGTTCTCATTCACATAGAATGCAATGTTAATAATGGTTTTGTGATCTATTTAAATGCAAACTAAACGAGAAAACTAAATGTTTAAGGTATGTGCGGAAAAGCCATATACAACATCAACGCCTATTTGGCTAAGTAAATTAGAATTGTAGCCTCATCTTGATCGAAATGTATTCGTTGAGATCCTCCTGAACGTATCGGTTTATAAAGCAGCAGTGCTGGGAAATATTTTCAGGAACTGCTAGGCAAACACTCGAACCGGGCGAAGAAAGTGTCATCATGGATCTGGAAGCACACGGTGGCCCGGCTGGGCGAGGATTGGGTCTTCCTGGCGCTACTGGGCATCATCATGGCGCTGCTCTCATTCATCATGGACAAAGGCATATCCATATGTACAAACGGTAATGGTGCTATTAATCGATTTTTCAGCTCGTTTTTAGTACCCATTGTTTCGTTTCTATTCCTCTAGCGCGAATTTGGCTGTATCGCGATCTGACGTCACAGCCTTTTGTTCAGTACATAGCATGGGTCTCACTGCCGGTCTGTTTGATATTGTTCTCAGCCGGCTTTGTCCATCTCATCGCACCGCAAAGTATAGGTAAGCGTCCGTCTTATCATACATCATACACCTCATAAAGTCATTTTCTCATCACTCTCATCATCTCACTTCCTCCTAATAACTGTCTTTTCCTTAGTCTAACTTATGTAGTAGAGTTGTTTTATTTAGTACAAATATTTTAAACGTAGCTTGCTTGAGTAAATAAATAAATAATTGCCTTAAATTGTGCCACTCTTCCATTCGAGCTGACGTCGGTTTTCCAAAATTGTAGAAATTGTATGAATTTTGTGCTTACTTACTTTACTTCTATGGTTGATTAGGGCAAGGGAAATGAACGAAACTTGATTGTTTTGTATGACGAAATAGACTCTATTTCTTCACGAGAACTCTTAGGGTCCTTCTATTTAATTTTGATTTAAACGTACTCATAGTACCACTGCACTCTGGCAGCTGCCCACTCCAAGCACACTTGGCACCTCCAATCTGTGAACCCCATGTGTCTACATGTTAAATACTCGAACCACAACTAACACTCCCAGCAATTCTGCTATCTGCACACCTCAGAAACTAACCACTAAATATACAGTATAAACCACTGCGAGTATGATCAATGCAAATCTACATAACCAAACTGTGTCTAGGTTCCGGTATACCCGAAATGAAGACCATACTGCGCGGCGTTCAATTGAAAGAGTATCTCACATTTAAGACACTAGTGGCCAAGGTAATTGGTTTAACGGCAACTCTGGGCAGCGGTATGCCATTAGGAAAGGAAGTAAGTATAAGAATTGATCTCACACTGCATGCAAACATGCCGCTGAGGCGAAATTGAGTGCAATTTGGAAAATCAATAACATTCCGCATCTGTATCTCCGTGTATGTTCCCAGGGTCCTTTCGTACATATAGCAAGTATTGTAGCACAATTATTAAGTAAACTTGTCACATCATTCCAAGGCATATATGAGAATGAGTCGCGAAACTCTGAAATGTTAGCGGCCGCCTGTGCCGTGGGTGTGGGCGCCTGTTTTGCAGCACCTGTGGGTGGTGAGTATCTCGTAATAGATCTCCGCGAATCCTGACCTCTGACCTTCTCCGCCCGCAGGTGTGCTCTTCAGCATTGAGGTCACCACCACCTATTTCGCGGTGCGCAACTACTGGCGTGGCTTCTTCGCGGCGGTTTGTGGCGCCACCGTCTTTCGACTGCTGGCCGTGTGGTTCCAAAATGCCGACACCGTTCGAGCCCTCTTCCTCACGAACTTCACCACCGAGTTCCCCTTCGATCCCCAGGAGCTCTTTGTCTTCGCCTTGATTGGGTAAGTTACTGGTCTATTAGTCATTTAATTATTTAATCGTTTGACTCTGTTCCAGACTTGTCTGCGGCTTGGGTGGCGCCTCTTATGTGTGGGTCCATCGGCGGTACGTCCTGTTCATGCGATCCAACAAGCGGATGAATAAGTTTCTGCAGAAGAAGTGAGTTCTTGAGATGGAAAAGGTCTTTATACTTAAAAAATAACTTAAGGTCTCTTCATTTCTGATCAGAATTCACAGATCAATAAATATGGTTAAAGGCTATTTAAAATAGCACAACAAATCATGTACTTATGTATTTTAGTTTAATTTATCTATTATTTATAACTCATATTAATTTTAATATTAAACTTTCATATTTTCTTTCTTTTAGTCGGTTTTTGTATCCGGGATTCCTGGCCCTGTTGGTCTCCAGCATATCGTTTCCCCTGGGCACTGGCCAGTTCCTGGCTGGCGAACTGAGCACCCACGAGCAGGTGACGCAGCTCTTCAGCAACTTCACGTGGTCACGGGATGATCTGACCGTGGAGCAGGCGGCGGTGGTGACCCATTGGATAACCAGCTACACCAGTGTGTTTGGAAACCTGGTCATCTACACCCTCTTTACGGTAAGTACTATGATATATACTAAGATCGAACTCACTAAAGACGCCTTCCTTTTGCAGTTTATGTTCTCCATAATAGCCTCCACGATACCAGTTCCGTCGGGCATGTTTATTCCGGTTTTCAAGATCGGGGCTGGCTTCGGTCGGCTGGTGGGCGAGTTCATGGCGGTGACATTTCCCCATGGCGTCCGCTACGGCGGCCGACTGTCGCCCATCATGCCCGGTGGCTATGCCGTCGTCGGGGCGGCCGCCTTCTCCGGATCCGTGACGCACACGGTGTCCGTGGCCGTGATCATTTTCGAGATGACCGGCCAGATCACGCATGTGGTGCCCGTGATGATTGCCGTGCTGGTGGCCAATGCCGTGGCGGCGTTGCTCCAACCGTCGATATACGACAGTATTATATTGATTAAGAAGCTGCCGTACCTGCCCGATCTGCTGCCCTCCAGTTCCGGTATGTACAGCATATTCGTGGAGGACTTTATGGTGCGGGATGTGAAGTACATATGGCACGGCATCTCCTACCAGAAGCTCAAAGAAGTCCTCAAGCTGAACAAGACGCTGAGATCGCTGCCACTGGTGGACAGTCCGGATAACATGATCCTGCTGGGATCCGTGCAGCGTTACGAGCTGATCAAGATGATCGAGAAGCACATTGGGCGCGAGAAGCGAATGGAGGTGGCCCAGAAGTGGCAGAAGGAGGCCCAGGAGCGGGCGCTCGAGGAGGAGAAGAAAAAGCAGGAGGTGGAGCTGAAAATGCGACGTCCATCGCGGTTCGAGGTCCTACCGGCTCCGGATATTCTCAGTCTGCGACAAATTGCAAACGATGAAATGCTGCCACCGAAGAAGCGGGCGGAAACGATGCACGGTTCGCTGGCGCCAAGGAAGTCCATTCTGAAGAAGACGAACTCCTTCAACCTGAAGACCTACGCCCAGCCCATGGGCCACAGTCCCAGCATCACGCCGTACACCACGATCACCGGCAACTCCGAGTTCCGCATCCGCTCGGCCTTCGAGGCCATATTCAAGAAGTCCACCACGCTCCAGGATGTCCAGCCGGATCCGGAAACGGGCTCCCTCTCCCCGGCCGCCAGCCACACTGAGGTGGAGGTGCCGCGCACTCCCAGCACTCCGGGCGTTTCCAAAAAGGTTCAGCTGGTAAGTGAATTAGTCTTTCCTACTTCTTAGAAATTGGGTTGGTTTTCGAGTTGACCATGTAAACCGGGAGGTACAATATCTCATTTCAAGTCTGCACAAAGTAATTGGGATTTTGTAACCGATCAAATTATGCTGGTAAGTAGCTACTAACAATTTTCATATCATACATTCATAAACTTGTGAAATGTTTACATATGCTTAAACCACTCTAATATCTGCAAGCAAGTAAACCCTATTTCAACGGAAGCAACCACATTGGTAAGGAATAAGACAAAGAAATACTTGTAGATACTTAAAGATCAAATAAAAGTAGAATAGTAACTATATAATTATTACTAGAATATCGCCAAAAATAAGTTATTTAGTTGATCACTTTTTTTTTTAAAACAAAGATTTTTAGAGAATTAAACCAAAATCTTTAAGAGGTATACCACTTTTAAATCAGATTTCTTATGGGCTTGACTGAAATTATAACACCCTCTGCAAATGTATGATATCCCAATTGAAAGTAGTTCTAAAATGTTGCTAGTAATTTAGCCAAGAATAATGTTTTTTATCAAGAGTAATCTTTTAATCTGAACAATAAGCCTGCCGAAAAGGAAAGCACGGAAATAGCAATATCAAATAGTGGGGATAATTCGAGCCCATCACCGAGCATTAAATTTAAAACAAATAAAGTTGGAGATGTAAATAGATCTCCTCAAGAGCCAAAAAGGTGCTCGAAAATAAGGTTTGCCAACGAAGTTGGAGTAAAAGATTCGCCTACTCGAACTAAAATAAAAATCAAAGAATCAAGTGAAATTGGCTATTCTATAGAGGATGTCGATGAAGCAGCAGGTCCAGAAACGGAAGTTGAGGTAGGTAAATGATGAAGGAATAGAAAAGATGAGAATGAAATATATGCAGTACTAGTACGCCAACTAATCATTATGCCATTAACCATTAACCTAACAAAACAAATTTCTTTTCTATCTGTTTTGTAACTATCTTAATTAACTCAAACAAGAGCATTCAAAAGACGAAATCGGTGCAGTTGGTACGTCTAGAATAGATCTTATAAATAATGGCTTCAACCTTCTTGATAATATATATTGTTTTAACTTACTTCTAGCCCAGGGAACGTGTAATTGACATGTCGCCGGAGGATCAGAAGCAATGGGAGCTCGAGGAGATGATGAAACCCATCGATCTCCAAAAGGCCAATGTGCACATCGATCCCTCGCCGTTCCAGCTTGTGGAACGCACCTCCATACTCAAGGTTCACTCGCTGTTCTCGATGGTGGGCATCAACCACGCCTATGTCACCAAGATCGGAAGGCTTGTGGGCGTTGTGGGACTGAAAGAAGTAAGATTTGTTGGATAACTTTAAAGATTATACTTTATAAATTATGTTTTTCAACAGTTGCGCAAGGCCATTGAGGATATCAACAGCAATAGCTTTGTGCCCCCCACACGCGATGAAGATGCGGAGGACAAGCCGGCGGTTGAGAAGCCACTGCTGTCAACAAACACTAGCGATAAGGCCGTGGACATGACTGTGACCTCAATGGACTCAGCACTATCCAATTCCGAGAACTGCTCGGACATCGAAATGGAGCACATAAAGCACACGGATAAGGGCACAGTTTCGCTCACCATGCCGCCACAGGAATCCAATCAAAACCCATCGGCGGACACAAATATCACAGAAAACGGCAATCATGCTTGATACAAGATGATCGGCTATCAGAATAGTACATACGATACGTATACGTAATATGTTTGTAAAGATCAGCTAAACACCTATCATAAGTTACGTCTTACACGAGTTAGTCATCAATGTTATTATGTATTTATATCTCGTTAGTTCATAATGTCAAAGATATCGTGATTTATATATAAGTTGAAAAGAAAATCAAGTCACCAACAAAGTCTTCTTTTAGTTTTATTGATTGGGTAATATCTCTTGTGATCCTAAAAACACATTTAACTCTTTTTGATTTTAATATCATTGGAACCGTACAGATCGAAAAATTTTAACAAAATAAATTTTATGGAAACAAGTAAATTACAGATTTGTGAGTATAAAAGAAGGATCAAAATTTTCAGGATTTCTACTTTATTTAACAGATTAATCTTTTTTAACTCCTTTCGGCAAACAATGGTAGAGAAGTCAATTTTGATATTTACAACAAATATCTCTTAAGTTTTTCGTTGCATTCTTCGATTAAGCTTTTAAAGACGCGCCGATAGTACGTTCACGAAGACAAAAACTATCGATACTTTCAATAAAGCGCTAATAAACTATCGCCACCTTTCGTCAGCTGATGCAAACAGTGTTGCACAATTCGTGACAATTATTGTGTATTGCATCTATCTTTTTCTATGCAAACTTAAAAATAATAATTATAGCCCGAATTCCTTTAGATTTGTAGACAGTGAGCGGGAATTTTGGCTGCAGGCGGCTGCGAGGTGCGTGTGCGAATATATATAGATTGGCCAGACTTATTCCCGGCGCACTTATGCCACTTTGCGTGGCGGGGTGTGGTTAAAAAAAAAGAGTAAAGACGTAGACTCGTAAAGCCTGAAAAACGCCTCCGGAGCTATAGACAATACAAAAACAATTCGGCCCGTCGATCGACCGTATAGCTAATCATTTATGCCGAACACGAAGACAGAGCCTAATTAGCATATCAAATTGGATGACGGCACTGGCATATAGTCGCCATCTGCAGCTGGCCCATGCTACAAAAAAAAAGCAAAATAAAACATGTTGAATTCCTTATTCCTCAGATTTGGCCAGTAAGTTTCCATAAGACCGTGGACGTCGGGCCGGCGATGTGCTGGGCAAGATGTCCCGGCTTGCCGATTACTTCGTCATAGTTGGCTACGACAACGATAAAGAGAGTGAGTACTTGCAGGATGCTAAGTAATAATTAGTATTCCCCTGACTGTTTCCACTTTTCCCACAGAGACCGCCAGCAATGTGTGCGGACAGCCGACTTGCGGCAAGATCGTGCAACGTTTTCCCGAGAAAGATTGGCCCGACACTCCGTTTATCGAGGGCATTGAATGGGTGCGTTCAGCAACATTCCACACACGCGCATATCTGACTTTACCTTATCGTTTCCCAGTTTTGCCAGCCGCTCGGGTGGAGTTTATCGTACGAGAAGCAGGAGCCCAAGTTCTTTGTATCCGTGCTGACGGACATAGATGCTAATAAGCATTACTGTGCCTGCCTCAGCTTCCACGAGGCGGTGGCTATTACGCAGACGCGCAGCGTGGACGACGAGGATGAGACCATCGGGAGCAGCAGGTTGTTGGGGGCCACCCCCTCCTCCACGGATGGCATCGCTTCCACACCGGCTCCCATTACCCACCACAGCGTCATGTATGCGCCCAAATGCCTGGTGCTTATATCGCGATTGGACTGTGCCGACACCTTCAAAGTGAGACAAAAACTTAAAGCTTAGTCCAATGATTTATAAAATTCCCTTAATCACAGAATTGTCTCGGTACCATATACACGGTGTACATTGAGAACCTGGCGTATGGCTTGGAGACACTAATTGGAAATATTCTGGGCTGCATCCAAGTTCCTCCAGCGGGAGGCCCGCAGGTCCGCTTCTCCATTGGAGCAGGAGACAAGCAGTCACTTCAGCCGCCGCAGAGCTCATCGCTGCCCACAACAGGAAGTGGTGTGCACTTCCTCTTCAAGCAGCTGGGCATCAAGAATGTACTGATCCTGCTCTGCGCTGTGATGACGGAGAACAAGATACTGTTTCTGTCCAAGTGCTATTGGCATTTGACGGACAGCTGCAGGGCTTTGGTGGCTCTGATGTATCCCTTCCGGTATACTCATGTTTATATACCCATTCTGCCAGCCCCACTTACGGAAGTGTTGTCCACACCGACTCCGTTCATCATGGGCATACACAGCTCGCTGCAAACTGAGATTACGGATCTGCTGGACGTCATTGTTGTGGATTTGGATGGCGGTCTGGTTACCATTCCCGAGTCACTAACTCCACCTGTTCCTATACTCCCCTCACCTCTGTGGGAGCAGACGCAGGAACTGCTCAGCATGATCCTGTTCCCGAATCTGGCACAAGCGGATCTGGCATTTCCTATACCGGAGCGGCCATCTTCTCTGGCCAAGACTGACGCCCAGATCGACAAGGAACTTCGCGCCATATTCATGCGACTTTTTGCCCAGCTATTGCAGGGCTATCGCTCCTGCCTGACTATCATTCGAATTCATCCCAAACCGGTGATCACCTTCCATAAGGCTGGCTTCCTCGGCGCCCGGGACCTGATCGAAAGCGAATTTCTTATCCGTGTGCTGGATAGCATGTTCTTCACCTCATTCGTTAACGAGCGAGGACCTCCCTGGCGAGCCTCCGATGCCTGGGACGAGCTTTACAGCTCGATGAACGAGCTGCTTAAGTCGGAGGCGCAGAATCGGAATCTCGTAAGTAAAACTTGCATTTAAAATAAAGATCTTGGTATTAATTTTTCTTATACCTTTCAGATACTGACACATATCCAGGAGTTGGGACGCGTTCTGTACGAGAACGAGGGAACCCTGGCCCACACCAGCTATGCGCAGAAGGTCCTACGTCCGCCGGAGGGTGCATTCCAACGAATTCACCAGCCCGCCTTTCCGCGAATCAGCTCGGAAAAGGTGGAACTAATCATCCAGGAGGGAATACGCAAGAACGGAGTGCCACAGCGCTTTCATGTGACGCGTAACCAGCACCGGATCATTCCGATGGGGCCGAGGTTGCCCGATGCCCTAGATGTACGACCTAATGTCCAAAACTCTGCTCGCCGACTGGAGGTACTGCGCATCTGTGTGTCGTACATCTTCGAGAACCGCATTACAGATGCCAGGAAACTGCTGCCGGCTGTGTTGCGCACCCTAATGCACAGGGATGCTAGGTTGATTCTCTGCCGCGAGTTTTTCGGGTATGTGCATGGTAACAAGGCGGTGCTGGACCATCAGCAGTTCGAGTTGGTTGTGCGATTCATGAACAAGGCGTTGCGTAAATCCTCTGGAGTCGATGAGTACACAGTGGCTGCGGCTCTACTGCCCATGTCCACAATATTTTGCCGCAAGCTGTCCACTGGAGTGGTGCAGTTCGCCTACACAGAGATTCAGGATCACCCCATATGGAAGAACCTGCAGTTTTGGGAGTCCACATTCTTCCAAGATGTCCAGGGTCAGATTAAGGCTCTGTATCTCCTACACCGTCGTCAGAACGAGCATCAAAAGGAGGCCAACTGTGTGCTGGACGAGGTTCCGCTAGAGGAACCCACGGCGCTTGAGATTACAGCTGAACAGCTTCGAAAAAGTCCCACCATTGAAGAGGAGAAGAAGACCGAGTTAGCCAAATCGGAGGAGTCTACGTTGTACAGCCAGGCGATTCACTTTGCCAACCGTATGGTCTCCCTGCTGATTCCGCTTGACGTAAATGTGGATGCCGCCAGTAAGCCGAAGCCTGCATTTCGTCTGGAGGAAAATCAGAGTGTTTCCAATAGGTAAGATTGCTTTAAAAATAAGCACCCACTTAACATGTTTCGGAATAACAATTTTATAATTACAGTATTATGGGCTCACACAGCCTGAGTGAACATTCCGACGAAGGATTCGAGGAGAACAATGCACTGAAAATTGGCGTCATGGTTGAAAAAACAATTTCCCGCTTCATTGATTGCGTTTGTATCGAGGGTGGAGTTACCTCCGAACACATACGCAACCTGCACGACATGGTGCCTGGTGTGGTGCACATGCACATAGAATCCCTGGAACCGGTTTATCTGGAAGCCAAGCGTCATCCACATGTACAGAAGCCTAAGATTCAGACACCATGTCTTCTACCAGGGGAGGATCTTGTCACCGACCACCTGCGCTGTTTCCTCATGCCGGATGGACGCGAAGACGAAACACAGTGCCTGATACCCGCCGAGGGAGCTCTGTTTCTCACCAACTACCGTGTTGTATTCAAGGGATCACCGTGCGATCCACTCTTCTGCGAGCAGGTCATCGTGCGCACCTTTCCGATTGCCTCTATGCTGAAGGAGAAGAAGATATCGGTGCTGTACCTGGCCCATCTGGATCAAACGCTGACAGAGGGACTACAGCTGCGCTCAAGCAGCTTCCAATTGATCAAGGTCGCCTTCGACCCGGAAGTTACCCCTGAGCAGATCGAAAGCTTCAGAAAGATATTAAGTAAGGCTCGCCATCCATTCGATGAGTTTGATTACTTCGCATTTCAATCGTACGGCACAATGCTCCAGGGCGTGGTACCGCTGAAAACGAAGGAAAAATACTCCACGCTGAAAGGCTTTGCCAAAAAGACGCTGCTCCGCGGGGCAAAGAAGGCAGGATTTAAGCAAAAGCAGACGACCAAACGCAAATTGGTTCCTGACTACGATTACGGGAGTGGAGCAGATGCCCAGGAGACGCAGTCCATCGATGATGAGCTGGAGGATTTGGACGAGTTTGAAACTCAAAACAATACCATGCCCAGATTGCTAACGACTAAAGATGTCGAACGAATGCGGGAGAGGAGCTATGTACAGGACTGGAAGCGACTCGGTTTCGATGCAGAGTCTCAGCGTGGATTCCGCATTAGCAATGTTAACACCAGCTATGCGACCTGTCGCTCCTATCCGGCGATAATTGTGGCCCCCGTGCAGTGCAGCGACGCGGCGATAATGCATCTGGGTCGGTGTTTCAAGGGCCAGCGTATACCATTGCCCACGTGGCGGCATGCGAATGGCGCCCTGCTCATCCGGGGTGGCCAGCCCAACAGCAAATCAGTAATCGGAATGCTGAAGAAACACCACTGGAAGCAATACGAACGCCCATCACGATGTCACACATTATCCCGAGCAGGATAAATACTTCCTAGCCCTGATCAACACGATGCCAAAGCTAACGCCATTGGCTATCAATCAGTACTCGGGCATGAATCTCTCGATGAGCTCGTTGATGACCCATGGCTCCTCCGACGATCGACAGCCGCTTACGCCGGAACTGTCGCGTAAGCACAAAAACAATCTAGATGTGAGTGATGGCAGCAAGTCCAGTCAAGGAGGCAAGGGCGGAACAATGAAGGGCAATCCCAAGAACTCATCGGCACATGCCTTCCGCAAGATGCGGCTTTACGCATTGGGTGAGCTAGGATCGATTATTTGAATCATTAATCTACATATGCTTTAAAGCTTCCAATAATTTAATTTATTTTTACAGGCGAAAAATCTCAGGCCAAGTCGAACATGAATGTGGACTTTTGCGCGGACTTCATTGCCGTGGACTATCCGGACATCAGGCAATCGAGGCCCGCCTTTAAGAAGCTGATTCGCGCATGCATGCCATCGCACAACACTAACGAGGCGGATGGCCAGAGCTTCGCAAAGATGGTGGAGCAGTCAGATTGGCTGCAGCAGATCTCTTCGCTAATGCAGTTGTCCGGGGCGGTGGTGGATCTTATTGATCTGCAGGAGAGCAGTGTTATGTTGTCCCTGGAGGATGGCTCCGATGTGACCGCCCAGCTTAGTTCAATAGCACAGCTGTGCTTGGACCCCTACTACCGAACCCTGGACGGTTTTCGTGTGCTGATAGAGAAAGAGTGGTTGGCCTTTGGCCATCGATTTGCGCATCGCAGTAATCTGAAGCCCTCGCATGCGAACACAAATATTGCGTTTGCCCCTACTTTCCTGCAATTTCTGGATGTGGTTCACCAGCTGCTGCGCCAATTTCCAATGGCTTTCGAATTTAATGATTTTTATTTGAGATTCCTGGCATACCATTCTGTGTCCTGCCGCTTTCGGACCTTCCTTTTTGATTGCGAACTTGAGCGCTCGGATTCTGGCATCGCTGCGATGGAGGACAAGCGGGGATCTCTCAATGCCAAGCATATTTTTTCAGCTGGTGGCATGCAAACCAACGGCTCCGACGATGAGTGCAATGTATATCCGCTAGATATCAGGAGCCAAAGGACACCAGCGCCTCTGAATCGCATTGGTCACTCCATCTTCGATTATATCGAAAGACAGCACAACAAGACGCCTATATTCTATAATTTCCTGTATTCGGGTGACAAGGGCATAACTCTGCGCCCGCAGAATAATGTTGCCGCCTTGGATCTATGGAGCTACTATACCAACGAAGAGCTAGCCCAAGGAGCGCCTTACGATCTGGAGGTGACCACCGTGGATGACGAAATCGATCTATCCGAGATGAAGGGCAAACGGATGGTCATTACCGCCGGCTATGACAACATGGAGAAGTGCAATCCCAATGCTTACGTCTGCCTGCTCAGCGAGGTAAAGCAAGCGGAGACGGAGCGAGGTCATCTTCCCCAAAAATGGCTGCAGGTGTGGAACAGCCTGGAGGTGCCTCAACTGGAGCCAGCTGCTCGCAACGCATCGTTGGGAAACATCTTCGTGCAGACGCATCAGCACAAACGTTCCACGCTAGAGATTATCATGAAAGGCCGGCTGGCGGGATACCAGGACAAGTACTTCCATCCGCATCGATTTGAGAAGCATCCCTACACCACGCCCACCAATTGCAACCACTGCACCAAGCTGCTCTGGGGGCCAGTTGGCTACCGGTGCATGGACTGCGGAAACTCCTATCACGAGAAGTGCACGGAGCACTCCATGAAGAATTGCACAAAATACAAGGCCATCGATGGAGCAGTGGGGCCGCCGAATGTGAACATGTCGCAGGGCGACACGGCCAGCATCGCTTCCAGTGCCGCCACGACGGCGCGCACCTCCAGCCATCACTTCTACAACCAGTTTAGCAGTAACGTTGCCGAAAATCGCACGCACGAGGGGTGAGTTTTTATTTTAAAGTGCTTCAACCGAAATTAACAGTCACTTAGGAAAATTCCACCGACAAGAAAAAAATATACCAAAACCAGTTTTGTACATATAAGTAAAAAAAATTAAATCATTGATTATTTAGAATGTTTTTTTTTTGTTTATAAAACTAAATAATTATTCACTCAATTAAGGTAAGCTAGATACCTAACTTGAAAATCCAAACAATTAGTAAATATATAGGTGCTGATTTTAATGTTTCTTTATTTTATCTTATGTATATAGACATTTGTACAAACGTGGCGCCTTGCTCAAAGGATGGAAACAGCGCTGGTTCGTCCTGGACTCGATTAAGCATCAGCTTCGTTACTATGACACATCAGAGGATACCGCTCCCAAGGGCATCATTGGTAGTTACAAATATTAACTCATTGATAAGGCTAAAGTAATTGTTAAATACATTTTCAGAACTGGCTGAGGTACAATCAGTAGCTGCCGCACAACCTGCACAAATTGGCGCAAAAGGCGTAGATGACAAGGGATTTTTTGATGTAAGCTAAATTGGGAAATTAAAGTCCACAGTAAAAATAAATATTTTCTCATTCAATTTTAGCTTAAAACATCAAAGCGCACCTATAATTTCTACGCGATCAATGCAATACTGGCACAAGAATGGATTGAAAAGTTGCAGGCTTGTTTGCAATAGAAAATTTGGCGAAAATCTTTCTTCTTCAACAGCTGAACTTCGTTATCTTTCCTTTTCATTCTTTTCTGTACGCCTATCAGAAGTTGTGTTTTAGGATAAATCAGTATATTTCCAGTTCTACGTATTAATATTTTCAATCTGTGGCTCTGCCATCATATCATAGCTAAACTATCACCTTAGAATTTCCTTAGTTGATTTGAGAAATCGCACGCACCCATAAACATAAATGTTAGCAACAATTATGCCAAGCAACAAGCGAAACGTTAGTTAAAGAATGAAATCCATCTGTAAATGTGAATGTAAAGAAACTATAAAATTTTGTGATTATATAAACAAACAAAAATCAGACTATATGATAAATTAACGATGAAATGGAAAAAAGCCACGCCCGCAAGTTTTTGATATAATTTTTTATATATATTATATATATAATTCTTCAGCCTAAACCACATAGGCTTATAGCGAATTTACCAAAGATTATTCCACCTTTGTTGCGCAATTCAAATGCATTTCTTGATTGCTTCCTTTAAACTAAACCATAATATTAAACGCTTTCCTTTATTTATACACTACATGATAATCAATACAATACATACTTTAATGCAATTATTTGTGGCTTACAAACGATAATATACATTTTTAAACAAATGCGCTTGGTATTATTATTGTTTACGTTCTATTCCTTCGTTGAAACTTTTCCATCTATCATAGGAACGTTGTCCAGTAGACAATATTGAGTATAAAGAACGAAAACGGGAAGAAAAAGCGCGAGAATTTGTCTATATAAATGGCTGTGGCATGGCCATGGCAGAAAGTGTCGTACTGGGGCTCAATAATCGATTCCCGATGATGCTGTAGGGCAGACTAAGAGGCGTCAGCCGGTGGAATAGCTCTATTCATTTCTCAAAGCTCACCTTTAGATCGTCCAGGTCACTGATGTTCTCGTCCGAGTAGCCCTTCATGGCCTTCGTGGCCACCGGTCCCATAAAGTTGTTGACCACCGCAAACTCCATCAGCGAGAGGAAGACGAACACCGAGCAGGACGACATCCAGACGTCTATCGCCTTCACATACGACACAGGCGGCAGGGACTGTTGCGACTGCGTGTTCTGGGTGGCCAGGGTCAGCAGGGAGGTCACTCCCAGGGTAACGCGGGCTGGTATCGCCTCCGGCTTTATCCAAAACGATATCCACGACATGACCACGATCAGAGCCGATGGAATATAGGTGTGGAACAAATGGTAGCCAAGGCGACGTCGCAAATTGAACACAATGGCCAGGCAGGTGAAGTTGCCTAAAATTAGTAGAAATAATGAATTTAGATAGTACACCTTTAAAAGTTAGTGATTCCTTTCTCTATAACTGTCCTGTTAACTGACTTGCACATTAATATGACTTAATTTTGTTATGAAATATTTCATTTTGTTCTCACCAGTTGAGTACTCTATGGTGCAATCGGTCGTGTAGTTATTTGATATGTCCAGTTGTGGCAACTCAATCTCCGCATTGACCACCAGTGGATCGGTCATGTTCCAAATGAATACCAAATCCTCCACTGTATGGGATACTGTCAATCAAAGCTCTATAAGTCTAGTATGACGACCATCATAATAGGTATTTTCCTAGAAGCGTAATGGAAACATTCAAGCAATAAAGGACTAGCAGGGTAAGGACAAGGGAAACATCACTTTTCCACCTACAACTCTCGATCATCATGGAGCAGATTTGAGTGTCATGTGGATAGGACTCAAACTTCATGGCGCACGACAGGACCAAAGTGAGCTTGGACATGTAGAGCAGCGTTTTGTCGTGATACAACCAGAGATAGTGATTCGGAATGCTCATCTCATGGAAGGTGACCTTTTTCGCGTTCTTGAAGAAGCAATCGGGCCGCCAGATGCTGTGCAGCCAGTCCACATCCAGGATGCGATACTGCTCGCTCATGTTCTCCGGCAGCCGCAGGCGAGGATCACGCCAGCTTTGTGCAAGGAAGATGTCCGTCACATAGGTCTATGGGAAAAGGAAAACCCATTAAAAGGTATGTAATATAACGTGGAATGTAGACCAGCTTCGATGGCCAAAGACTAGAATATTAATGTCATAGTTGGTTAAAGTTTCAAGTGAATATTGTTCCGAAACTGAACAAATCAGCAATTCAGTTTTAATCGCCTGTAGTTAAAGTTAAAAAAAAAAAATGAGTGCTGATATACATACAACTTAATAATAAATACGTTATTGGACATAACTATTTAAATCACTTGACTTTTTTTGTAAGTTATTATAAATAGAACTATGAACTCTTCTGATATTACACTGTTTTCGAGATCTATTGGTCTGAACTATTTTTATACCCTTGCTGAGGTTTTTAAAGCTATCTGCTTGAAACTTTGTCAAAAGTGGTCATTCTATTGCAGAAAGTATATAAGTCGGAACGGGCGACTGTATCATATAGCTCCCATAAGAATAATCGGAAAGAATAATTCAAAAAAATTATAACTTTGTTTTTAATTATTTTTTTTGTTCTTGGTCTTTGTTCATTATATTAAAATCGGACAACAATATCATATAGCTGCCGTAGAAACGATGGCAAAATACAGCGCAAAGTTGATACAGCTTCATTGTTTTTAGTAATATAGGCATAGAAATCGAAATGTAGTAAATTTGTAACAACTGCAAGGGTATATAAACTTCGGCTTGCCGAAGTTTGCTTCCTTTCTTGTTCTGTAAGAAAAAGTTTCGTTAAAGAAAAAAAAATGACCTACCATGGACTCTTCGTTGATGGAGTCCAGCGAGAGGACCGTGACATGGAAGTAGACTACGGTGGGCTGGCCCAAGAGCTTTGGAGCCCGGTTCTTGTCGTAGGTTTTCGAGGGAATGGGCAGAATGTCCGGGAGCGAGAGGCTCGACTCGTAGTGGGAGACCAGCTCGGCGCTCTCCGTGTTGTTTCTGCAAGCATGGAATAGCCTTGTGGGGTAAATCTGATGAAACTGGGCAAACGCACTCGCACCTACCTGAAACCATGAACACAATGGCACTGCTGGATCGATTGCAAATATATTGCCACCGCAATAAGGAACCTGAACTCAACCACTTTGCTAGTTGGGCTTTGCATTATGAACACACTACCTTCGGCTTTAGAAATATTCTTCTGGGACACATTGCTCCGCAATCCATGTCATTTCCCAAATTTGCTCATTTCTGGGTCCGCATGGAAATGAACTTGATTTGATTACTTAACGAGTGCTGTGCGGGAATTATATTTTACTCGTTCCGCTGCAAAAACCAATAAACAAACGGCAGAGTTATCGCGACGATTGTGATGTGCTGCAAAGTGTGATAAATTAATTTCTAAGGTTTCATTCGCTTTCATTGGCATTCGCCTACACTACTTTTCAAATTGACAACTGACCCCGGCAAGCGAAATGGCAAAGAGGAAATGATGTGCGTTCCGACTGACAAGGGCATTAATTTAAATGTGCACTCTGTATTTGCGAATAATATCTGCGAAATATGAAAAGCAACTTGTCTGCGCGAAATAACTAAAATGGGCGCCAACGGCCGATGTCAAAAAATGTATTATCGGTTGTTCCGAATTTTGGTTTCCCAAACGTTTCGGTTGTAATTTTCGAAGTGTTCCTGTTTAAAGCTTTTATATTTTGAAGCAAAATTTTTACCTATTAAATCTTTGTATATCTTAACTACTATTAGTTAATTTAGTTTTTTATAGTTTTTTTAATTACTTGTTTATTTTAAAAATTTCTAAAATTATTTATTAAAATGACCTATTATGCGCCAAAAATATATGCAAATATTTGAAAACCGGAACTTTCTCCGATGTAACGGTCGGCGTTGCCAACCACTTGCAGGTCTGGCAGCACTGGTACACAATCAGCTGTTCGCAAGGTTGGCAACTCTATAAGGTCAAAATATTGATTGTTTCACTTGCCCAGCGTTTTGTCTTTTTTTTGGCGATTTTAAAATGTAAAAGTGGCGAAATATCTATTTAGAAAAATCACGAAAGAGGCAAAAACGGCAAAAGAAATTATCACAACCGAAAGTAACATGGAATCCTGCGATACAATCGCAGGTGAGTGACCAAAACAACGAATTTTAAACTTATTCCGGTGCGATTTTACAAGGGGGTGGCGGTGGGTCACGGGTCATTTTCCCTTTGTGCAGTGACGCGATTTTGCTGCGGCGCATTGTGCAACTTGTGGATATTGATTAATAGCCAGAACGCCGAGATACACAAATAACGAAATTTTGAAATTTTCATAGATAAATAAACAGGGTAAACTACTGCTAAGTTAACGCTGGACAAGTCCGAAAATTGAACCGACCATGGAATCCCCACTGTATCCCAAGCCCAACAACAATCTGGGCAATGACAAAATGAGTTCCAGCTTGAATAGCAGCACCATGGAGGACACCACTCCCAGCGATTCGGGAGTCCAACTCCTGGACTCGGAGAACAGCGATATAATGGTGGAGTCCATCTGCTCCTACGAGGAGAACGTGCGACCCCTGCCACTTGTGTCAGTGGATCCCAACTCCAATGTGACTGCGCCGTCGGAGGAGTCGATGACCATTAGCGAGTGCTCCACATTCGACACCACCGAGAAGATTGTGTACCGACGCAAGGTGCACAAAGCCTCATCCGCCTCCAAAACCCCCAAGAAGAGAGTATCCTTCCACGAGGACATATTGAAGAACACTCGCACCGACAACATTCACATTGAGCATGGCTTCATTACCTACAAGAACGGCAGAAAGCTGGCTTTCGCCAACTCGGCGGGCGTGGCCGGCGCTCCAGGACGATATTCCTGGTGTCCGGATCGTGAGCGTCCAGAGGGACCCAATGAAATCAGTGCCGCTGGACGGGAGGACGATTGTGACGAGGCTGGTGGCGGGGGTGGCGCCAGGCGAAAGAGACACTACGTCTACCGGAATGCCTGCTCGGATGTGCTGGACTACGATAACATCTATGACACGGACGAGGCACCAGGTCTTCACTATGACACCTCGGGAGTCTTTGAGTACGGACCCAAGGGCGAGAAACCGGAGGAGCCACCGCGGCTCTACAAGTGCGTCTGCAGCAGCTCCAACTCCAGCCTGGACTCCGACGAGCAGGACAAGAACTCCAATGCCAATCGCAAGCAGTACGAGCAGGCTAAGAGCAGCTCCTGCGATTGCATCGGCATGAGCAACGCCAACAACAACCTAATCGGTAAGATAAGCCAGTGGTAACCCGTAACTAAAATATGTAAATCAGTTACTGGTCAATTAGAATACAGAATACGTAACTTTCAACTTAACAATACAAATGTATTGTATTTTAAAAACATTCAAAATAACACCATTATTTATCCCAAAAATTAGGTGACAACTGTTACTATTCAGAGCCCAACATTGGAGATGCCGACAGTCCCAAGATTAAGTCTGTTTGGAACAAGGAGAAGAAGCCCAAGTCGAGCTGCTTGAAGAAAACTAAACGGCAAACGAACGTCATCCTCGAACAAGATCTCAATGGGCGTGTGAAGAAGTTCAACGTGCACGACATCAAGCACCAGTTGCTGGACAACAGTAGCAAGATGATCTTTGGCTCGCTGAAAAGCATCTTCACCATGCCGCTGCCAGAACGTGGAGTGCCCGAGGGCTCCGAGGACCTGCAGGCAGTCGTTGAGTGTTTCCCGGAGCTGGAGCAAACTCCTGAGCACAAAGCGCGGCCAGTGGCCGAGTCACCACCGCTCAAAGCCAAGCCATTCCTCAGCAAGAGTCTCGATGGCAGCAAGCAGGCACAACCAGTTAAGAAATTCGTCCACAACGTAGACGAGCAATTGCGCCATAAAAACGACGACGATGGTGCTAGCTCCACGGAGGCCTCTCCGATGGAGTCAAAACAGTCACAGATGTTGCACCGCCAAGAGGAATTCGATAAGGAAACAGTCCCAATGGGCAGCGCACAGGGCGAGTTTCGCAGCAAGTTTATCATTAATTGTGAGAGCACAGTCTTCGAGCACACCGGAGTATCCTACGAGACGGGTGAGCCGCAATCGGAACTCTCCTCCGGCATCCAGCACACTAGCGTGGCTAGTTTGCTGGAGCAGAACACTCCCATCGCAGAGCCGGCAGCCAGTCACATCAAGAAATCGTTTTTGGACGCTCCCATTGCCAAGACGTTTAGTAATTTCTTTCGTAGCTTCAAGGAGAGCACAAGTGCTGGAACACCAGTAGAAAAAACCGAGCCGCTAGTCACAGATAATTATTTTGGTAAGAAAATTTGGATATTTTATCAAAAATTTTGAGCTTTATTTTTAAATTGTACATCAATAAAACATTTACATTTAATTAAGTTCACTTATAACAACTGCATAACAAGACCCAAGTATTCTAAGTTCACTTAAAATATTTGATTGACAAGTTATTAATTACATCAGACAAAGCTAAAAGTCATGTACCTGTACCTATTTTTAAAATTCTTGCCAACAACTAAAAATTTTAAATATGCTCCCATTACAGGTTCAAAAATACCCAAGCCGCAACAGCAGGCACCATCCACCGGTAAGCTTCACCGGAATTGCTCCTCATCCACCATATCGGAACCCAGTTCCAATACCAACACAAGCAGCAACCATCAGATCGCAATGAACCCACAGCTGGGCAATGCAGATCGTAATTCGCGTCACCTTCCCTCTCCGCTCAAGAGGCGCGGACAGCCCTTGCAGCCGCCGCGCTACTACGACCAACAGCATCCTCACCAGAGCCGGAGCCTCCACAGTCCCAGCACCTATTTGCAAGCGGGACGCGGCGGTAGTGGACGCGACTCAAAGAGCACCATTCTTAGCGAGGAATTTGACGATATATTAACCATTACCACCACGGATACTACTAACGACAAGCGCTCAATGGACAGTGATTTGGTCATTGTAGACTACACAGATGTGGACTATGCTCATTTGCTGAAGCCGCCAGCTCCGGCGGCCAAAACCTCGCTGATAAATAGATTCCTTCGCAATGTTACGCAGAAGAAAATCATGGAGACCTCCATACGCAAGAATAATTTCTTTGCCGACAAATTGCGAACCGAACAAAGGCACACGGGATCTGATCTCTATGTAAAGGGTGCACGGCCAAAAAACTACGAGTTGATAGATGATCTAAATGCAGAGATTGCCATGGAAATTGAGATGTGCGGCACGAATTCACCGCGCCGGGAACTCGCAATCAGTCTGGACAACGATTTGCCAGGCAGCATGTCCAATTTTGAACTTGGTATAGGAGAGATCTCTATTGATGTTTTCAAGGGGAAATCTTTGCTCAATTTACAGCAATCAAATGAGCAGCTTATGAAGGTAGATTATAATTAAAAACCTTGAAAAGGTCCAGTAATTGTCAACTAATTAATCCCTCAAAATATAGGTTTTTAAACTGTACACGGGCTACAGTGTTGATGGCATTATGACTCCTGTGCTTGTTCTACTCACTGACAAATCCCTGTATGTAGCAAGTATGGATCGAAACAATCTGTGCGCTAAGTTTGTCTTAGCCTACAAGGACTTGGATGTCATACTGGTAAGGGAGACCTAATGTTTTTCATTAAGACGATCGTAATTTTATAAATTATTTCAGATGGGACCCTTCGGCAACACGGTTCTGCTCAGCAACAGCACGCGAGATATGCAGCAAGTTCTGCTGGCAGGTGGACCATATCCAGCCGGATCTCTGGTGGCCAATTTGGAGCTGTGTGCACGACGCAGTGGCTCCACTCTGCCCGCAGTGGGTCAACTTACTTTAGAACATTTGGCCCCATTGCAGGCCTTCGTCCGCGCTAACAGTTGTGTGGGCGTAGCTGAGCACTGGCTCTTCTATGCAGTGGTTAATGTACCAGCTGGTGGTGCAATGCGAGTCGAATCGCCTAGCGAACTACTGGGACCGTCCATCAAGGGGTTCCTCATGCACCGACGACTCAAGCAGACAACAAGCACATCAGCAGCCACAAGGATATATTGGCAACCAGGATTCTTTCTACTAAAGTTCGTAGTCTACAGCACTCAAAGAAAATTAATTTAATTTAATACGTATACATTTTTTAGGGCTGGCGTATTGTATATGTTTAACGATTCCACCCAGAGGCTTCCCAGCTGGGCCATGGCTCTTGCCGAGTGCCAAGGCGCCCAGCGAACTGTGAAATCGGAGCGCCCTCACTGCTTCGAGATAATGCTGAAGGGTGAGCTCCTTCAAATGGCAGCGCCCGACGAATATGTGGCCTCCGAATGGCTGCAGGCCCTTCTGCAATCTGCCACTAGTGTAAGTATGCAATTAGTATTAAAATTAAACTTTTAAAAAACTGTTTTTTGGCTTTCAGCTTGTAGTTCAAGACGAGAAGCACAAGACCCTTGGTTGCACTTTGATCGTTACAGAAAACCATTTGATAACCCTGCGGGAAGACTTTTCGGCGCCCTTACGGCAAATAAGCCAACAGGCGGATAACAGTGCAACTGTTCCAGAGAACAAGGAAATGGTGATCGAGGATGAAATGCTCAGTGTTTTTGAAACCAGCAGCTTGGTAAGTGATGATTGTGGGTTTAAAATAATGAATGTAATTCAAATATCGTTTGTAAATTTTAAAATGTTTTTAGATGGGCTCCACCATTAGTACTCCCACTCGTGGCACTCAGCAATCGTATTCCTCGCTAAGCTCCACCCCCACCAAACACACAAATGAGCCTGCTGCTTCTAAGGAAGATGCTACCTCACCTAAAAAGTCGCAACGAATGACCAGTGTTTACGGAAAGAACTCCGGTTTGGCGATACTCACCTGTGCGGACATAAAAGCCATGACGGGCATTAAGATAACTTCGCGGAGTGAGACTTGGTGGTGCATATTAGAGTTCTCCTGCCAAGAAGCCCCCTTAGAAAGTCTGGACGATTTGGTGATCTTCTTTGCCAGCAGCATGGAAATGCAACGTTTTCTGCGGTTGCTAGAGCAACTTTGGCAGTCTAAAAATGTAGGTTGCTTATTTCGAATTCATCGCTCCGAATTAATGCAGGATATTTCTTTCCCAGAACGATCTATTTCCAATAACCATACTAGATGACGGCGACTCTCTGACCGAGCAGTGTAACCAACTCTATATGGATACTAACAGGGCCTGGGAGCCTCTGCTATCGGCTGCGCTAGGTTAACGTGGCTATAGCAATATATACTCCATTTACAAATAGAAAATTATATTTCCATATAACTCAAACGTTAAATATTCTATCCTGATTACTCAAAATAGCTAAAGAACAGAAAGTATTGATATTTATATAGTCGGTATTATGTATTATGATTTTGCAATGCCTGCCTCCGCTTGACTCATTCATTCGATTGCGCTTAGTAACAACTCATTTGAATAATTTTTGTGATATTAACCTTAAAATCGCTTTGGTATGGATTATTTTTAGGTTATTTAGTTTCTACTTGTTTTCTACAGTCATTATTTCTTACCTTTTATAACTACATTGTGTACAAATATTGCACAGAAAAATAAGGACAAAATATTATACATACCTAATCTAACTTATATGAATATGGAACATGTAATCCGTAATGTTATGTGTTGGGGGTGCTCTACTGATCCAAGGATCATAAATATATTGGTATACAAAAAACAATGGCTATTTATAAAATAAACAGAACATATATAAACATTTATAAATGTGTAATAGGAAAGGTGGACTTAATATTTTTTTGCAAAGCTGTGCCTATCCTTTTGAATTATCATAGATTAAATTCCCCTTCCAACGCCCAACATTTTGCCGTAAGCCTTTCAGCCCACTAAAAGCTCATGATAATTAATAAAATGAATAAACGCCATTAAGAAACGAATTTTTATTTTATCCTAAGCTCATTGAGAGATGGTCCTTGACATTTTCAATTATTGCGAGTGGCAATAGGGTTTATCTTGGCCACATAGGAAAGAGTTTTTGTGGCCTTAAGAAGGGTATTAGATGAAGATTTGAAGGAGTAGGGGATTTGCATGCTTATGATGGATGTGAGCGAGTGAGATGGGAATGGGGTCTTTGGAGGATGCTGAATGGGGAAACGAGTTACGCACAAACATACAGACATCATAACATTAACAAATGTATGTACATAGATACGTACATATGTACATACAATGTATCTGCAGGTACTTTCGGTTCATATGTATGTATGTGTGGCAATGTATCTAAATACTTGATATGCCGGTGATCGAGTTTTTGGAACATTATCCGATATTTTGCATATTCCCCCGACACTGGGCTTGAGCCATAATTCATAATTGGAAAATGTGCATATAAATTCTAGATAAACACATGTAACAGTTGCAATTGCTCGAAAATCAAGCTAAACAAAGCATTGCATTCAAAGGTTCAAGCGCGGCAGAAAGAGAGGGCGAGAAAGAGAGAGAGAGCGAGCGAGAGAGTGAGAGACGAATCAAGGAGAATGTGAGAGAACGTAAAAAAACTCCAACCCTCTTAATAAAACGAGTAGAAGACAAGACTGCAACAGGAAAAAACAAGAATGAGAAAGACATACAGACATGCACACACTGGCATTTATGCAAGTGCTCGTGTATGTGTGCATTAACACATAAAAATTAAATTGCAGTTGAAACGACTTGCAAGTGCCCTGCACATGATGTTTCAGATTCTTCTTAAATTTGCTCAATTTAGATAATTTAAGTTGAAGTAGAAGTGTAGCGAATGAAAAGCATTGTTTTGAGGTGTCCAATTTCGAATAAAAATTTTAATTTTCAAGAAAAATTCTATCAATAAAACTGAATTTTTCAATTATAGAGTATTTGAGTCTTCCAGTAAAAAATTAAAAAAATTAAACTGATACATTATAATTAGTTTATTTTATAGTTTATTTTATTAACATTATTGATATATAATCTTTATCTATGCATGTGTGCGTGTGTTATAATTATCATTCCCCAAAATCGGTTGGAGAACATCAAGTTTAAGATCAATGTTTCGAAAATGGGTCGAAAATCTTAGGGGGCGTTCTTTTACCGATCTCGAACCCTTTGCTATGGGTCTGGAAAACATGAAAACACTTGCAAACCAAAGGGGGGAGAACAGAAGCAGAGGCAGAATCAGAATCAGAAACAGAACTTGTCGTAATGCAGCTGAGCCACGGCCTGCTTTCTTTTGCTGGACTCACTTTCATTAATACAACATACAGCAGAATTGAATGCAACGAGAGCAATGTGCCCGAGAACGCTCTCGCTCTCTCCGTCTCTCCCTCTCCTTACCTTCTCCGTGGGCAAACAGATCCAGATACATGCACACAAGCATATAACCAAACATAGATACTTGAAAACACACCGTACATACGCCAGCACATACGGACATTCACATGTAAACGTATAAGTGCACAGCAATACCACACAACCCCAAAAAGTTGGAAAACCAAATAAAAATACAAGGCGCATTGTGTGTGCGTTTTCTTGTGGACAGTCAGCACCGATCCGTCCATACACTACTTGCAAATTAATGGGGCATATTGGGACTATTCTTAGCATTTTACAAAATCAATATTGAACTTATAATAGTTTTCAATTATATGTATCAATTGTAAATATGTTATCTCAAGTTCTCCAATTTTTTTGAAATCTCTGGAAATAATTTGTGAGTGAAAACACAACACAAATTTTGTAGGGTAATTTATTTTACTTATAAAAATGTATGATCGCTCCTGAATTTTACCATAATTAAATAGTACAGGACGCCCAAAAATGATCTAGAATTAACATTTTACATTGATTTGATTTCTTACCATTAAAAAAGTGCAATCTTTATGGCCTTTTTGGTTTGTGATTAATACCAAATCCACATATTCGAAAAGTCATCCTGCTTGGCGTTGTCATTTTATTTGTTGTTGCCTCGACGGCGGTCACAAAAAGTAGCTCATCTCTCGCTGGAAACCAGTTTTTATGCTTTGCTCCCAACCGGTTTTCATCCTGATAACTTACAGCGAATTTCGTGTCTCGCTGCGTGTCTGGCTGTGAGGCTCGGCCTCAGTTCCAGCATAAATTGCACTTCGCCTGCACGGATCGCGCATAAACGTTCTGCCCAGCAATCTGGCCAAGTGACCAAGCCAATCTAGGGAGCAGGCAGCAGGGGCCTGGGGCCAGTGTCATATGCCCGGCGCTCGGTGCAGCGAAATGTAAGGAACGTACAACGTACAAATAAACGCGCATTTTCCAGAGAAGTAGAAAAACTTCCACCCTCAAAGCGGCACACAGGCGCACATACAGACAATCGTACAAACACACAGCGAACTAATACAAACATGTAAGAATGCTGCAGTCGTGCAGTTGGATGGTATGCGACCAGTTGCTACCCAGTAAATGAAGGGTATCAGGCTATCACTCTTAATTCGATCTGTCGAATAATCTTATTATCTGAAACCAATTAATGTAAATGAATTACAATATTAATGGTAAAAAGCTTAAAAAAAGAAAAAATAGACTCACTAAGATCGCACATCCTTTAGATACATATGTAGACATAAAAAAGAGTACTATTTATAAATTGAAATTACATCTTTCATTATTTTTTTATTTTAAATTTATTTTTAAAACGTTTCTTACCAACATTTTAGATGTTTTACTTGGAAGAGCTTTGTTAACTACTTGCACTCAACTTTTTACCTTTTATTTCATAATGTAAAAGATTTTTTATTGAGATATATGTATACAAATTTAAGATGTTATCTGATCTGATATGATAAACAACTTACTTACTACAGGTTAAACTAAACAGGAGAGACAGTAAAAAGTGAGAATAGTGTTAACCCCCGGACAAACTATAAACTATAAACCTTAAAAAAAGTGAAGAGAGGGGGTGTCGTGGCCTCCCAACCGATATACCCTGCACTGCCCCTGGGCACTGTCACTGTCATTTGCGTCGCAGCGCTGCCGCTGTCCGCGTCCGCGTCGCTTTGCCTGGCCCAGTGTTTCCGCTTTCTTTCGCCTCGTTGTAATGTTACTTTTAGTTTGATGTCGGAGCCTCGACGAGCCGGTCGTAAGCGAAATCGTAAGCGAGACTTTAGTGCGATTCCGCTCCGTTCCGCCGGGGTGTGTGTGCGTGTTTGTGTTGCGAGTTTAGTTCGAGAATCATCAGAATCCAGCGGCGAGAATCGAGAATCGAAACCGAAAGTGGTTCTCCGCGTGTGCGAGTGTGAGTGAGTGTGTTGTGTTTGGGCCCGCTTTTCTGCTTTTCTACCCCCGAAAAAGCAAAGCACAGCATAAAACTGTGCGCTCGTACGCGCGCCAGTGTGTGTGTGTGTTTATGGCGAGTGCTAGTGTGTGAGAGTGGCAAGGGAAAAAGGAGGCAAAGAAAAGAAAACCAACCCCCACCAGCGGCGGCGAAGAACAGGAAAACAACAACAGAAAGCACACCACCAGTACCATCACCACCACCCACTCTTCGTCATCGTTTCGCGGTGTGCAGAAATACAAAAAAACGATCGAGTATAGTGCTAAAACCGACTTTGAGGATTATCTTTCCAAACAAAAAAGGGCCCCTCGAGGCCCTCCAGTAACAGCCGCAACCCCCCGATCCCGATCCTGACATGATGAACTTCTCCGCGTTCGGCGGCCCCTTCTCCGGCATCCACCAGTTTGCCGCTAAATTCGACGCCCAGACGCCCGGCGCCTTCGGCACGCCCCCCTCGGCCGCGGCGAATGCAGCAGCCGCAGCGGCAGCGGCCGGCACCGATAACCATGTGCAGCGCTATCAGACCAATGGCAATCACTTTAATCAGAATGTGCCCAACGGTAAGTGCATCTGCCATAGACAATACACCATAGACTACATACAGCACCACACCATCTCGACCACATGCACAAACATGCACATGCATGCACATGTGTCTGTATAACATAATCACTAAAAATTTATTTTATTTTTATCGATTTATTTTCGCCCGCTGCGGGCAGCGACGCCGGCGTCATAGCGTCAGGGGGTATACACTCTCACTCAAGCAGCGACAGAGGCAGAGGCGGTGGCAGAGGCAGCGGCTGAGGGGGTCGGGCTGTGCCCCGCCTAATGCCCTACACAGGATTCTTGTTTTGGGGAAAAACGCACTATTTTGATGGTTATATTACTGGCCTTGTCAACCTTTGTTTTCTAAACACTTAATTTTAGCTTGAAAAGTAAATATTCTGGCGAAGATTTATAAACGTAAACAAACCCTATAGTTTTTTACTTCTTCATCTGCCTCTCCTATTTGTAAATAAAATAGATGGAGCTAAAGTATTACTGAAAAAACACCTAGCTAAATAATAATTCGTCTTATAGAGTAAATACAGGTACATCCTCAAGATAATCTTTGTAAAAAAAAAAACAGTTATATTTCTTCCTAAACAACTTAAAACATTTTTATGAGATCAGCAAGGGGTTTGTTGATATACCCATGTTTGATTGTCCAATTGCTTTATATAGAGCATCTGCCAAACACCTAACCAATGTTTATGACATTAATTAAAGCAGGAAATCAATAAAACTTCGTTCGAAAACCAAAAAATCGATTATGTTTACTTGAAGAGTAAGCAAAAATAACCATGCACATACTAGAAGTAACCCAAAGCTGTTAATTATACACAAGCATTTAATCAGCAGTGTAGTATCGCCTCTTAAATGTAACAAACAATGCATTTTTCTATTTGTCATTTTTGTTATTACAAATAAAAATCTAGTATATTTAGAATTCTTAAAAGCTAACAGCTTTTTTTCTGGCTCCTATTAATAATCATATATTTTAGTGTTTAATATTTGGGATAAAAACGAAATTTTCGATTTTCTCATATAACCGACCACTTGAAACTTGACAATACTTTCCATGAATTGCTAGCGAAAGGTGGCTTCCATCTGGATCTACTTACTGGCATTCGCATAAAGACATGTGTGAGCGTAAGCGGGTTTTCCACCCCCATCCATGATATTCTCGCTTTCTGGCCAGCGAAGACGTCTTCTTCAGGCAATTTGTAAACCGCACTACAATTTTTTGGGGGTTGGTGGTTGGCGGGGTGGAGCGACTTAGTACGAGTACGAGTATACCCTGTCATCAAAGCTGAATTTAACGATTTTTTCGTAGTTGTTTTTGTTTTGCGCTCTTTTTTATACGAGTATATTCCGCTCTATGTTTTGAGTCATTACCACCCACCCCCAAGTGGGTGCAATTGTGTGTGTGTGCAAGTGAGCCATGGCTGTTGTTGTTTTGCGTGGCTTGAAAATGCAATGAACTCAAATAACTTTTGAATTTGCTGCATTTCACTTTGTTTTTTTTGTAGGGGTGGGTTTCGCTGCTCTCTTCAGCTACTTAAGCACATACATAGAAATACAATTAAATACATATATGTGTGTGAGTGTGCGCTGAGTGAGTGTGTGTGTGAGTTTACAACCCCCAACCCCCAAGAGCCTGCCTTTGCCTTTTTAATTGCACTGACTTCCTGCCAAGTTGCAACTTTTTTTTAGTGGCAGGGTGTGACCGGTCCCACCCCCGATATATATAATACATAACCCCTATACTTACCCCTAACCGCAGGCTCCTTCTTCTTATCAATTCTAATTAGTTGCATTTGCTTGCATAATTAGATTCCCAGGGCAACCCCCAAACCTTTGAATTGCATTTCATAATTTATTTTTGCCCTGGCAACTGCACAGATATTTTCCACTTGCATTTATTGGAAAGTGGAGAACCAAGCCCAGACCCAAACTCCTCTCCATTGGCTAGGTTCATTGATCCCAGCTTTGGAGCTACGCATTATATTTCCAGTTTAGCGTTTTATATTTTTTACCTGCTATAACAGGAAAATGCGTTGGCCAGTGTGTGTGTTTTATCTCTCCCAACACATACATACGATTGGATGTAATCTATGGGTCTGGGTATTCGGTGGACTGTGTGCGGCTGATCCCAGCCAGGTAAAATGTCCCACGTACTCGAGCTACTGCATTCTCCTGGTTTTCTCGCTTATTAGCTGCATTATCGCTGCCCTGCGACTCTGTGACCTGCTCGAGGTTTATCTTTCGATACCTACCCGATAATTTGCTCTGTCGGTTTGCTTGTATAAATCATTATTGGGTTACCAGGAAATATGCAGCAGTAGGTGTAGATATCGCTGGACCCTCAATGTTGCCCTCGGGGTATGGGTTTTAAAATGTAAACAGATCAATACCTGGATAATATTGAGGAAATGGTTACAAGGAGTTCAGATGTTGGAAAAACCGGAACAGCACATAATTAACAAGCAGAAATAAAAATGATTTGAAAATATATCCAAATGAAAGACGTTCCATGAGTACCAACTAACTACAAATGTTCGTTTGTTCTACACTTTTATAATTTTAAGCTATGGTTTAACGTAGATTTTAAAAATTTATGCAAACAAGCTTTCAAGATGAATTTTCATATCTAAAAGGCTCATGTTCCTAGGTTGTTTACCCATTGGTTTAATGTATTTAAAAAATAAATTCTAAAAGTTGATCGAAAACAAATAAAAATAAATTGATTTCTAAAAACTATTTTTCTGTATATGAACATTTAAATAACTAAATCCCATTTTACTGGAAACCACCTTTAGTTCTGCTTTTGCATTTTTATTTTGTATTGTGTATATGTAATACAAATTTATAAATATTATGCGATTAAGAAATTTTAGTATTTTATAGGTATCATTTCTCCAATTTGCTGTATTATTTAATATACATTTAACATTTAATTGCATGCCTTTAACCCTTCAGCCTGTAATATTATGAGTTTCAGCGGACACCGGGTATCTTGTTGTCGAGGACACACTCCTCTGCCCTTTATTAACGTCCCCCTAATGTTCAGCAGACACCCCAGCCGTAAACCATTTGCATTTTTTATGTACATATGAACGTACTTATGTACCTATGTGCACAACACATAGATGTATGTGCTTCATGGGTGTGAATAACTGGTTACACCCCCAAATCGTTGCCTGGATGTATGCAACACTAAAAAAGTGCGCATGATAAAGCAATTACGATGGGCACACAAACCCCAACCCCCAAAAGCAAGCCCTTTCATTTAAATGGGTATAGATAAATAAATATTAGCCGTCATTGATTATTTATTTCATTGTTTCCCCCATTGACTTTAAGGCTTAAAGCGGCCGTTGAGCTTCCGAGTTTTTCTTTTTCATCCTTCTGGCGCTGATGACTTAAACTCTGCCGATGGCGCCGTTGGCTTTGTACCCCTCTCTTTTGCCTAATTTCTCTCTCGTATAACTACACTGACAAAAATGAGACTTTTGTGCCTATATTCGTTTCTCAAACATTCTGTAACATTTTGCCATTAAGAAAATGTCTACCGTTAATATATAGTTTTATGTTATTTACTTTGATCGATCACTCAATTATATAAAATTGTGTTGTCTACTTAGTTCGAATGGTTGAAATTTGCCTTGCTTAAAGTGCTTTTTAAATTGTTTATTACCCACCAAATACAGAGATTTGATGTATCCAATAAACATAAATAACTATTACTTTGATTTATTTTGTCAAATAAGGATAAGTCAAATTTCAATGATTTATTTTATTAATCTAAATGAAACGAAAATTTGTTTAGATGTAAAACTTCTCTCACCCTTTAAACTTCCCACCCCCACTCTCTTTTCCACTCACTCTCATACTTGGGGTCAAGTTTCGCCCAACTCCGTTAGGGGTTGCAGTTTTCCCAACTACGCCACGCTCTCTCACTCTCTGACACTCTCTCCCTCTCCTGCGCGGGCGCTCTCACCGCTTTCACTGCCTCTCCCTCTCACACGCACACAGAGCCGAGCGACACACATAGACATGGACAGGAACAGATAAACGCCATGTTTTTCAAATCGCTGCCAGGCGCATTCCTTTCCATTTTGTTCCACTTTGCTGAACGAACGATCCGCCCAGAACCCCACTTTGCTCTCTCACTCTCCGCCACTCTCTCCGTAACTCTCTCCACTCTCTACGCTCTCTCACTCTCGTTTGGCCGTGTTTCCGACTTCACCGACTTTGACTCGCTACTCCGGCTCCGATTCCGGCGATATATTCGTCTCCTCCACGCCGTACGTTGTTTTCCCTGTCGTTGTCGTCATCCCGTTCATGGGAAAGTGAAGTGAAAAGTGAAATGCCACGAATGCCGGTTGCCATCCACGCACACCACCCGCCTTTGTTGTTGCCATGGCTCCGTATTTTTGGCCATTTCGGCCGATTTTTCCGGCTGCCTTTGAACCCTTTCTATGATTACCGATTAATTTTCAATTATTCATGAGATGCAAAAGGGGGTTTTCAGATGGTGATGCTTTAACAAATCCACTAAAACCAATTTAATTTGTATAGTTTTATTAATTTAATTATGATTTCCAAAAATATAAATTTTTATTAACGATTTTATTTGTATTTTAAGTACACTCAAATTCCCAAGACTTTTAAGTCATAACTCAGCGACTATTTTTAAAATCATGAATTTCATTCTAATCAATTTTCTTAAATATTTAAAATTCAAAAAAAATTTTAAAAATCCAGCATTTCTTGGTTGTAATATTTTATAAGGCATGTCAGTTTACATAGAAAAAGGGATGACACAAAAGATATAGCCTACTTTTGCTACAATCTGACTCAAGCGTATCTGCAGCTTTATGTCATATTTATTGACGTTATGTGTACAAAATATTTGCATTAATAAGCAAAAACCAAAAAAAAGCTCAATTTTTTATTGGTTGGCTTTAATTTGTTTATACATTTACGCATAATCATTTACATAAGCATATGTTTTCAATTTAAATCAGTCATGCTTCAACGAATTTATTAAAGTACCATTTTAGGAAGCTTTTCTACCACAAAAAGGTTAAGGCCTATGCGAAAAAATTAAAGCATTTGAAAATATGTTAAGTTGTGGCCAAGGTCGAATGGTAATTTATACAGCGACTAAGACTAACACAGACCACACGCACCGGGACACATAAATTTCACCACGTCAACCAAAAAGAAACGAAGAAAAAAAACTCTTACTCTATTTTTTTTTGAATAATATAAAAAAATATAAAGTACAGCTTCCTGAATCCTTCCATTCGAAAATCGGGCCATGTATTTTCTCAAGGAAGCAGGAGCATTCTGAAAAAAACAGGCAATTGGCAACAGCCCGAGAATGTTATTTATAAAACTGAGCACCCGGCTAAGAAAACACCAAGAAGCAGGGAAAATTCAAGGGTATGGAAGGGGGATCGGGAAATCTGGGGGAAAAGTGCACACCCGCCGAAAAGGCCCGAAAAAGTGGGGAACGCTTTTCCTATGGCATACATTCGGGCGTGTGCGCGGCCGGCATTTTCAGTTTCAGTTTTAATTTCCTTTTTCCTATGTATGCGTTGTCGGGTCCCGAAAACACGTGTGTGCCTCTGTGTGTGCTTGTGAGTTTGTGTGTGTGAAAATTTGGCCTTGGCAGACGGCAGCGTGTGGGCAAGGGGCGGGGATGGGCGGTTGGGGGGGCGACGACAGCCAGCAGACAACAACAGTTCGTAGGCACACGCACGTTCGGCGAGTAGGAACAACGTGGTTAACTTTACGGTGCCGATACATATTTATGGGCCTTAGGGTGGAACTTTTATGTTCTAAATTATAACTATTTAACACAAATAATTTGATATTGCCAAACGGCCTGGACAACACTTATTGCATACCGCAAACCATTTAATTTTTTTTAAATTCATATGATAAATAAAAAATATTTATTTAATTTTATCAATGGGTTTTAAATAAAATTAATTGACTACATATATTACATGGGTATTTGAATCATACTGATTTGTTTATAATTGATTTGAACTACTTTTCATTTCCTTTTGTAAAAGTCCTTTAAATATGAAATATTTTGGGTTTTTTTATTTTAAAAAAAACAACGTTTTTTAAATAATATCTTAAAATATACAAATTTATCGATACAAAATCTTTTATTTGGTTTTTACAAATACGTTCTTTTATTAATAAACCCTTTTTACGTTTCGGTCATTTATTATATAAGAAAGACTAGATACAAATTTAATGTTTATAGTCATACAGTAAATGCATAAATTAGTTTCGATAGCGATAAATAGATTAAACACTTTGATAAGTAGTGTTAAAAACTACGCCAACACTGCGTATGTGTAATAGCCTGCGTATGAGTGATAATCTTCAGCAGACATTAAATCCAATTTCTGTTAACTTGCTTATATCGGTATTTGGGGTTCACACACAACCAAAGTCCGCCCCAATATTTGTACATGCAGAAAATGTTGCTACGTACACACAAGCACAGCGTTACTGGCCCTAGATACAGACGTATATATATATATATCTATTCAGTTGTATATATACATATATAGTAGGTACATATGTCGTGCCATAGCGTCGTTACTTTGTCGGCCGTGTGTTGTTTTTGTGCCGGCACCCGATCTTTATTCGGCTCGCCAGCTGAGCCATGGGATTCGATTCGGAGCCGGCCGGAGACATTGGCCGGAACGAGGAGCCGGAGCCGCCAAATCGGGAAACTCCGGCCAGGCCAGGCCCAGTCGCTTGTAGTTAGTCGGCCAGAGTGCGTTGTGCGAGAGCGGCGGCCGAATTGTGTTGAAAGCGAATTAATTCGCAGTGAAAAAGCTAATCCTAAGTCAAAAACTATATATAATATATATATACACAATTTATACCAAAGGCTGTGCTCACGATGTGTAAATGTCTAAAACTCTTTTATCCCTAAGTCCACACTTTCCCCCACACCACATCTAAGCCTAGATTAATTTAAAAAGTTTCTCTCTTTTCAGTTTCGGCTGCCAACAACATGCAATATGGCCAGAATATATCCATACCGTACTCACAGCCGCAGGGTGATCTGAATTTTCTAAATGCAGCCGCTGCGGCCGATCATAAGGGTAAAATCCATCCAAAAATCGAACGTGACCGGGAAGAAGGTGAGTCGCCGACCCGCAAGTAGGGGACTGAGTGGGCGAATAGTGGGTAGCGGGTGGTGGATGGTGGGTGGTTCCGTGGCTGGGGCGGGCGGCTAGAAAGTGGGAAGCTCGGGGAAGCTGAGCTGTATGTACAGCGCTCTCGGTTTGGTTGGTATATGTGTATTTCAAGGACGCAGTCATCACTCGTCGTGCGTCTCCCTTCGGCTTCGTTATTTATAAATGTTTTTGGGCCTGTCTGCTGTCCCCCATGCTGGTATGGGTGGGTCGGGTGCTATAATGGCACCATAGCATACTTTTTCATCCAGTTTTACGCCGAGCCACCTTAAACAAGTGGATGTTGCTTTTCTCATCCTGATTACGCACGCTGCAAAGGAGAAAAGTTTTCACCGCTAAAACGAGTGGGTGGGGGCAATGTGTCCTTGGCAGTAAATGGTTACTATCCTGGGATTTTTGAGAATAGACAGCCCTTTCCGGTCACAAAGTTTCGAGATATTTTATACGTATATTTGTTAGGTTTGGCTGCTCCGGTAATTATTAATTATATTAAAACAATTTCCATAACATTAACTTAATTAAATGAAATAAATGAATTTGCCTTCAAAAGCAAATGCTTGGTTAGTGATTTTTTAATAGTGATTAAATAGTCTGTAAAACGTATAAGAATATAAAAGATACAAAATTATATGAAGGAAATATGATAATCTTACAATCAAATTATAACCCATTTTTTGTGTTGTGAAAACTACTATCCATCTGCCGGAGCAGACCTTTAAAAAGGTGTTACTAACCAGACGTACACACATATACACATGTATGTAGGGCAGCTGACACGCCCCCAAATTGTGTCGGATAATTTTTTTCACTTGCCCTCTCGAGGCAGAAAAGAATTATGCAAAAGACAGTAGACATAGCTAAGATTTTCTTTTGATTTAAAGTCTTTAAGTCATATATTCAAATCTACTATTCAAGAACAAAATGCAAAAACAATTATGAATGTATTGTTATGTTAGATTATATGCTCTATCTGAGATTTACAATAACTTGTTAAGAGAAATTCTTTAAATTTTAATTTTAAGGGCGATATTTAAGTACCAATATGAGCAGGCCATTAGATACTTTAAAAATAAATCCTGAGATTTAAAAACATTTAAATGAAACTTTAAGCTTACACTTAAAATACTTAGTTGTATATCAATTAGAGCTATAGGCCATTATGAAATTGTTTTTAAATCTCTGCGTAAGTCCAATTATTTTTCGAACTACAATTTGTATGTATTCTTTTCCCTATCCATAGTTCTCAACCAGCAGATCCTGCAGAATGTGAACCAATCCTGGCAGACGCTCGCCAACACGGCCAACACGGTGGACTACTCGTCGCACCTGCTCTCCGCCACACTGCCCATCTCCATACAGCACTTCCTCAAGTACTCGGAGACCATTAAGAAGGAGTCCACCGGGGATGTCCTCAAGAATGGCACCAATCTGGCCAGCCTGGCGCTGGGGGGCGTGGCCCTGACGCCCAGCAACAATGGGGCGAACGGCGGCCACCACAACGGACTGGTGGGCATGGACCACGGCGGTCACATGACCAACATGACGGACGCCAACGGAGCGGCGCTAACGAACGGCGGCGCCAGCAATGGGGTGAACGGAAACGCCAACGGGGCGGTAACCAATGGTGGCGCAGGCGCTGTGTCCAGTTCCGGATCCGTGGGCACCACGAACGCCAGCGGCGGCACGGGCACGGCCACCGGCAAGAAGACCAAAAAGAAGAAACCACCAAAGGAGAAGAAGCCACGCCCCAAGCCCGGCGAGATCCGCGAGACGAAGGCGCTGGACGGCTCGACGCTCTACTGCTGCCCGGAGTGCCAGATGGCCTATCCGGACCGCAGCCTCATCGAGCAGCACGTCATCTCGCACGCCGTGGAGCGGCGCTTCGTCTGCGACATCTGCAATGCGGCGCTGAAGAGGAAGGACCACCTGACCAGGCACAAGCTATCCCACATACCGGACAGGCCGCACGTTTGCAATGTGAGTGCAGCAGCAAGCAGACTAGAGATCTCCACGAATTTAATTGTTTATAAAATTATCTCAATTAGATCGAGATTTTGTTATCAATATTTTCATTAATTAACACCAATTTGATATTGATTTCATGGTAAATCAATTGGCATCTCTATCTGTTTAAACCATTTTTCTTTGTATTTGTACTTACACATTTTACGATTAATGATGAAAGTGTCGTCAAAACAGATAAACCATGATAAACTTGCAAAACTTGTTAAAAGAATGGTTTTAAAAAATGTCTTTAAAAATATTTGTTTTTGTAGAACAATTAAAACTATAATTGAGTTAAGCTTAATATTACCGATGGGTGTACCTTACCCAATCATAAAAAACAAGTTATTAAAACTGGAGTTAGCAAATAAATAGGGCGATTTTCAGTTGAATTTGTTATAAACTACGAATTTATCTCAACAGATCTGCATGAAGTCCTTCAAGCGCAAGGAGCAGCTTACTCTGCACATTGTCATCCATTCCGGCGAGAAGAAGCACGTGTGCATTGAGTGTGGAAAAGGTTAGTAGCCCGTGATTAAATCCCTGTTAGCTCCTTGTTAACCGATTACTGTTCTAATCCGCAGGTTTCTATCGCAAGGATCACTTGCGCAAGCACACACGCTCCCACATCGCCCGACGGGTCAAGTCGGAGGTGTCGGCGCAAATTGTGAACGGATCCGCCGGAGGTGGCGGCGGTGGTGGCGGCGGCAACAGTGCGCAGAGCAACGCGCTGCACGGCTCCTGAGGATCGTACAAGGACTTCTGGTAAACTCCCAGACGAATTTCAAGCCATAAGGGGCGGCTGGACTGCTGGCGGCGGTGGGCGGGGATCCGTATACGGATCGGACTGCCTGTGGCCGGGAGCAGTCGAGCTGCCTTTGAAATTCGCTGGGAGCTTACTGGGGGTCCTGCTGAGCGTCACCCAACTCCAATTACAATAACCCTCAATAAACACGAGTTATACTTACTGGATGCAAGTATTAGTACGATTTTGTTCACGACACTTTCAGTTCTTTAGCTTTAGTTCTTTCAGTTGAGATTTTCGCACAAACAGTCAAGCAAAGTATAGCAATCGAAATGTACAAATCAGCAGAATGACAGATTTAAATTCGAGTTTAGTATGCGCATATGTTAAGGGAAGATAACGCCGCTTGAACGTCGCTTTCGTTTATTTTTGGGGATCTGTGATCTGTAGTCGCTGCATAAACAAAAAAGCAAACGAGACGATCGTAGGCGGTCGAAAGCTGTTCTAAGAATAAGTTAATATGCCTGCAACCGATTTACTATATATGTGTGCAATTTATAATCCTTTTGATTTGCCTTTTTGTTGCCATCACGGCGCTTTTGTTCACTACATTAAATGATAAATGTGTTTCCCCTGAGACCTCAGGGGAGATTCTTATTGAATTGTGCACATTTTAAGGAAGTAAGAAGCTCTACAAGCGAAATTTGTACTTCTAGTCTTGTATTTTATTTTACCGATAGGCATAGAGGGAAACCCGAATCGAGGTCATGTAATCTTAAGCTTTTAAACTTGAATGTTCAAAGGAAAACCTTCGACGCGAGTCACACCAAACACTAGACAGAAAGCCGCAATACGAACTTGCATCTTGGCATGCCCAACTTCCAACCATCGTCATTGCTTGCAACTGCAATAACCAACAGTACACCTATATCCAGCTTACCAATCAATACCGATAATGATAACTGATAACCACAAATAGCGTTAAGAGCCACATATACAGCAGCAAAAGCCACAGGATCACAGATAGCACGGGTCAACAATCGAAGAGAACCGCTAAACATTAACATGCATTGCATATGCAACAGCAACAATAACCGGAAACACAACTGTATAAAAGGATATTTTTTTATATAAATACAAAAGAGAGAGCATATGAAAACCGAATAGGAATAAAGGCATAAAACAATAACCGAAATAAAGTGCAAACACTTCGAGCAAGTGACAACGTAATTTACTGTTCAAATACAAAGCATTTTGAGATTAACGATAAAGTAAACGATTAAACAGATCCAAAAAGCATACATAGCAATGCAGCATATTGCAACCACTTGTATAGTTATACGAAGCTTCAAACTAAATACGCTAACCCTCAGATACATATAGAAATACGGATGCAGAATCAGAATCAGAATCAGATACTGTAAAGCGAACACTGAACAACTTGTTTGTTTCTTTCCTTGTTTGTTTCGATCACTTAATTCGCAAATGGCCCACTGAGCTCGAACTTAAGTCTCTTTTTGATTCCTAATCAAATGGGAATGGATATTAGTTTCACATTCCAAAGTAAGGCACATTTTAATGCTCTAAGACCCCATTCATCTATTAATTACCTCTGGTTCTAGGCAAAACACTAAAAATGTGAACTTTTACCAATTAAAATACCGAATACATGTTTTTTATAGCGCAACTTCTAAAGAGTTTGAGCCAGAGCGACATTTCCATGAATTTTTCACATTCTAAACTATTTTTTTCCGGCACATCATCTCTCACAAAAATGTACTTAATCAGAATAGTAACCTCTCGGATTGGTGCCGAAAACTTGTGTATTTCTTCGATTCGGTGCCAGCCAGTTCGGATTTACAGTAGTTTACAGTGCGGAACGTAATTGAAACACTTGCAGTGAAGTACAAATATTTTAACTACACACCTACAAGAGATGAAGCACCCACGACACAAGATCTAATTACATATAGAAAAGTAAACCGCGGAGATGAATTAGCCAAAAAGTAATGGAAAATGAAACAAAACTAAGCAAATCTAAATACAGTTACTACGCTAGAGGGTAGCATATTATTAATGCGTTTTGTTGGCCCGAAAGGAAGTGGGCTGGCAACCCAAAAGACAATTTGTAAACAATAACGTGACAACTTATAAATAATTAAGCAACCTTCATAGCAAACAAGGAGTTATTATTTTGCCATCGATTTTCTTGGTCTCTTTCTCTCTCTTGACACACTAAATCGAATAAGAAAATATAAAACAATAAGTTTATAAAGAAAAAGTTGCAATAAATGACAAACAAATGAAATTAAATCACTCAGGGATAAAGCCTCCAAAAGAAAAACATAAAATAAAAATGCAATATTTTAAACGAAGCAAAATGAAAAAAAAAGAAAAAAGGAAACAAAAGAAAACAAAAATTTAATCTAAAGAGAAAGTACATTTTAAAGTTAAAAATATTTTAGTATAATACGAGAAGGACAAAATAAAAAGTTTTAGAAATTTGCACAAATTTTGGCATTTTATAAACGCAATACGAACCATCAACAAATAATGCATAAAAAAAAAACGAACAAACAAATGACGAAATAGAAACATATTTTTCACACAAATTCATTGGCTTATCGAAGGTATAAAATCGACAATTACTGGATAGATCACCACAGAGCCGAACAAATGACTTAATAGACAGACGGTCCGTGCAACTTTTAGTGCATTTAAATAAATTATAAACGGCAAAAGAATAAGAAAAACACAAGCAGTTAATATTTACAGGAGCTAAATAAGTAATGCGAGGTTATGCGGCCAAAGATGAAGTTAAATTGTAGTTAGAGGTGGATGGAATAATGGGAGGAAGGCATTTAAAGCCAGGATCAGATGGGATCAGACGGGCGCGTAACAATACACCTTTTATATTAAACCAGTTAATGCCACAACCAATTTGAAACTGTACGTATTGAATTTATGTTTAGTGTCTGCAGCATGCGGGGGATGTGAAGGAAAGATCGACGGGCGAAGAGCTAAATACATTTAAGGGTTAGATTTTCTGCGAAAGGACTGAAGTTAAGGCAACGTAGCGTTTAAATGCAAAATTGAATTGAAAGAAACCGAGTGTTATGGATAATGGAGCGTGCGCGAATGCGATTGGTGACGAAAATTACTTGTTTAAGGCTGGACTTATGTAATTTCGAGCAAAAAACGATAGTAGCAAAACAAAACATGTAAAATGCAGATACAATATTTTTATAATTAAAAGGTACCCCAACCCCAACACCCCCTGATCTTAATATGTTTAATTCAACTGCAATTATCGTTAAAGACGTATTTACTGTTTGTGATCCAAATTCATTGATTAAACGTAAATTACACAAAGAAACAATTGTTGCATGGGCAAGGTTTGACGCAAAGTCCGGGTTTGCAAAGTACCCACAAGTACTCGATCCCCGGGTCTCTAAGACGAGGAAACCACGAGTCCAAAGCCAGGTTCTAAACTTGCAAGTGCGGCGTCAACGACTCGCAATACTTTGTGGACAAGCTAAACAATCGAAAATAGGCTTGCCCACAAAATATACCTTACAAGACCGAGTGTTAAGAGTACTTTTGGGCTCTCTGCGAACCCTTAGAAATAGAGCAGGAACAGTAAATTGTACTTAATTGAAAAAATGATATAATAAAACACCGCCACTTTGAAATATATTTACTTGAATCAAATAATATTAATGAGTATATATAACTTTGTACTTGAATAATATTTTATTTATATTTACCTTAAGTCAATAAAAATTCTAATAAATTATAATCACACAAAAAATGCATTTTTTCAACTGCCTTTTGGAGATCCTGCTGGTCGGTAAGGAAAGAGCAGTGTGATACACTGTAAAATCAGGGGTGGTGCTTCCAAAAAAATACTTGGCAAAAAACAAACATATTTGCTTTGTTAGCTTGCTGTGCAAACTTTGAATTAAAGTAGTTTAATTTTTTTTAATTTAAAAATTTAATTTCCATAATATTGTTGTGCAGATAAACAGTTTATTTTGAGAAAAAAGGTATGAGTAACTTTCCTGTTTACTATTTGCAAATAAACTTATTTTATTGAAATTTATTATTTAAAAGTTAAGGCTTTTTAAGGCACATTTATTAGAGATAGCGTACACACATACTTTAGTAATTTGAGGTTTTTGGCTAAATTTTTATGGTTCAAATTCAATTTTTAATAAAAATTACGTTTTTTAAATGTTTATGTTTAGCAAAACTTTAAATTCAAATTTTAAGAAAGCAACTAGAAATTAAACAAATTATAAGGTTTGTGAAGGGACAACCAAAAATAAAAGTGATTCAAAAGAACCGCCAAGTCATAATCAACAATGCCTTACTTTCACAGTCATGTAAATTACATCCGAATGTAGAGAAGGGATTTTACTTAGCGAATACACCATCCTAACCAGTAACTTAAGTGAACCATCGGACAGATGGTGAAAAATCCACCACTTTTAACGCATTCGCATGGTATTTTCGAATGACTGAAAAACAGCCCTCCTAAACGAGCACCTCCGGTAACACCGAAAAATGGTCGTCATTCGTCGGAATCAATTCGAACTTTGAAAATGGATCGGTAGCTGGGAAGGAAACTTAAAGCGAAATACGCAAAGAAAACGGCTTTTGTCCGCTATTCAGCGATTTTTTTTGTGTTGTAATCAGCAGAGGAAATTTTAACGACCAACTCCACCACCACCAGCCTCTTCCAGCAGCCACATAAAATAGAATACCAATACCCCTGCACCACAACTACCACTACTACCACCACCACAACTACAGCAACAACAACACCACTGCACAGCCAAGCCCACAAAGAAAAGGTGAAACGCAAAAAAAACCGAAAAAAAGCGCTGAAAATAAAACCAAGTCAGATAACCGAAAAGCGGTGCGAATAGATAAACCCCATTTTTGCTTGCGCTTTTTTTCGCCTGTTTGCCTGTGATGAGAGAAATCAGCAGCAACCAGCAATTACAACAACAGCAACACCAACGACGACTCAACAGCACCAGAATCGAATCAGTTTGCCGCATTTCTTGGCAATTGGATTAAAAAGTAGAGGAAAACAAAAAACATCCCATATAGGCGACCACCATTTTGAATGAGCTGAAAGAAGAGAGCGCGAGAAAGAGAGCGAGAAACTGCTGCTCATTTGTTGCACTACGCATTGCAGCTGGCCGCGTCGTAACCGTAAACCCTTTCCAGCTTTGGAACTCACTCTATCCCTGTCTCCGTCTAATCGCGTCCAGAAAAACCGTGCAGCAGCTACAACAGCAACATGGTGGAGCTGGAGGAGCAAAAGTCGGGAACAGCTGCCTCTGTCCGCGTCGCAGCCAACAACAACCACCCCCGTGGATCTGGGGATAGCGGCATCCGGAGCGGCAGCGGTATTTCCTGCAGCAATACGGACAACAGCTGCAGCCAGAGTCAGTCAGGTGAGCACTTAACCCATTAAGGGAAACTGGTCGAAAGAGAACCCACTGAATGGATAGAATATCGAACTTACCTGTTTCGAAGTTTATAGGTCGAACCATATTTATTTGTAGTTCTAGTTATTAAAATTCTACAGAAATTTATTTGAAGTCGAATTTCCTCAAGTGAAACCTTCGCTAAGTCGTAAAAAATTGTTTGACAATTGGGTGCAGCGAACAATATTCACCTATTTTTTCCTCTTAGACTACTGCAATCTTGTACTTTTCAAACACAACGAATCAATCAATTGTTTCTTTTCCAAAACTCTATCAATATTTTGCACTTTGAATTAAATGCATACAATTGAAAAAAAAAACCAAAAAAAGATATGGTTAAATGGTTAAAAAAGCTTGTAAAAATAATTAAAAACTTTGCATTAGACGTGCATACAATATTTTACTTTCTCGCTCTGCCCAACTGTCAAATGTCTGTAATCAAATGGTTAAACCGGACCAATACTATCCCTCGCAGTTCCTCTATTTTCGCTATCGGTATAGCTGGGATAGACAGAACTTTCATTTACCCTCGCTAATCAATCGAGC